ATGTTTCCACTGTTGTTTAGTCTCTGGCTGAACCCAAGACTCATTCGCGGTTACACATCTCTCAACAAATTCAGCTGGGTCTGCTTCAAAACGACGAACATCTCACGAGAGATGATGAACCTGGAGCATTTCTGATCAGGAGTCAGAAGCCGTTAAACCCCTCGTGCTGAAACCTTTGTCATGCCAAGTTCATTCCTCATTAATGCATTGGCTATGTGACGTATGGTAAGTCGTGTCACAGGAAGGAGCACCACCCCCTCCAGTTGACACCATGTCCGCATGGATGACTGTTGGAGACACTTAATAGCAGTTTTTTTGTCCCTTTTCCAAACATACAACTTTGTGGATTGCAACTTCTGGTTCATTGTATTTGCGTCGCTAAATGCAATAATATAGAAATTGTTATCTCTAAAGTCTCTTATTTACTCACTGACTTCTAGAATGCCAATCAACCAGTTAACAGAGAATAGCCAGTCACTTTGATGTCTGTAGAAGAATGCTGCTTGGTTGTGTATTTGGTTCAAATTCAGGCAGGCTGAAAGCATGGCAAGCACTGTAATTAATACATGCAAACTGTGAAGGGTGTACTGGACATTCTTCGTAGTTTGGCTTCAAACTTTTCAGCCACTCCTCGTATGTGCGCACCACGAACAGCAGAATCAACAATCAAACTTCACGAAAACGTACATATAAATACTTAGTGGGTATAACGAAGAAGTACCTCATATATTTTGTAACACGTCTTCATTTGAAACATTCACCCTGTTCTTTTGTATCCTGGCGATGTATATCCGGTGTGTATCATAACAGGTTATCTTCAAACAACCGTTTTCGTAGGCATCTTTGGTTGACTTTATGGACACGGGTGATCCAGTCTTCCAGACGCCGCAATTCCATGTGCAGAATTGCATCTCTTAAAGGTATAGAACCATATTGTCGTGGGTTCTCATCTGAAATGCTGTTTCTAGGTTTGTCGGCACCATACCAATCCTCGTGGGTTTCATCAAAGAAATAGATATCTCCAATACCCGTTTCACTCCTACTTTAATCTGACATTAACTTAATGTTGTTCATAGAAGCATAAACACACTCACTCACTCACTCACTCACTCACTCACTCACTTTGTTGACCCGACACCAGTCACCACTTTTATATCCAACGGTGAAAAATGCTTTTAATTTTCTTTCTGCTTCTTAAAAATATGTCTTCCTCAGTGCTTTGATAAGGTCGAAAGAAAGAGCAGCGTGTCCAGTTAGTATCACTATGAACGCATTTGTCTCAAATTATGTCTTGTTAATTGCATTCCTGAGTTATACACGGTGCATCCAAAATTTCCTTCGAGATAACTAAGTATATCTCCTCTTCTAATCTCATCTTTCATGACACGCTGTAGAGCGTGATGACACACAGCCAATCTCAGGGCATTGCTGGAGACTGTTATTCCCTTAAGACCACCTGGCTTCTATTTCACCACCCTTGACATATGATGATTGAACATATATCTGTCACGGAATCGACACCCTTAAACAACATAGAGAATTACAGGACAGAGAATGTAGCCAAAGTGTCTGTGTCTGGGTGAGTTGGTTTTGACGTTGCTTTGAACTGTATTCCATTTATCTCACTGCGTATCAGTTTAAAGTCCTGCAGGTCTCAGACGTTTACTACTTTAGTGAAAAAACAATCACGGGTGTGGTGCTGACAAACCTAGAAACATAATCGGGGCAAACCGAGATTCGAACCAACAATCATAGGTTACTGGTGTGCCAAAAGGGACGCAACTTTGCACAGCGAACTGTGGCACATTAGACGACTGGACCAACGATGTCTATTCCGATTGCATCCCAATTATATGGCCAAATGAAGCAGTTCAGACAAGCCATGACTGAGTACGGGTTTCTGTCGTGAAAACTATATACAATTATTAAAGTTGGCCTTCATGGCTAGCAATATACTAACATACTAACAATTGATAAGGTCTTTCAGAGTATTACAATTCATTCGAATGTCACGTAGAGGTCACGTTTTAATTACAACCAAGGTTTATATTCAATGTTTTCAACATCAAAGACTTGGTTCAGTCCTTCAATGTCGCTTGTCAACATAATGCGCGACGATATGCTATGACCTTTTCCGTGCCGTTTGCACACCTCCGTACTCACTAGCACTTACCTTCAAAATGAAAAGGAGTGCCGGGTGGAGTCATCACTGATGTTTAGTGATCCATATTGTTATATTTATTTGTTTTTTATACCTATGGAATCTCTTCCGACAGTTATTCATGACTGGTTTCTCTCTCTCTCTCTCGGGAATAAAACCTGGGTCTTCGGCGTACCGAACAAACGCTTTAACCACTGGGCTACCCCACCGCCCCTATTGCATTAAGCCACCCAACCACCCGGACAAACGATGAATGGTGACCTATACGAATCTGTGATCGGTGAAACCCGGCACACGAAAGGTTCGTAAATCAGCAGGCCTTAACGACGAGGCTACCTCATGCTAACAATCGAATTAAGAAATGTATCCTTACAAAGTTTTAATCTTATTTGGACAACAGACTGCGAATCATGGACATGGCCATATGCGACAAGCTACAGCTCATCATTCATGTGCCTATTCCTACTTGAGTACAGCAGTCAACCATACAACATTCGGTGTGACAGAAGCTATATCAGTTTGCAAGTCTTGACATTTTTAACCTTCCTCGTTCAAGTAAACGATCACCTGATACATCACTAGCCTATAATTACATCGGTTGTATGACAATTACCGCGACAGTTAATCTCCAGTGACATGTATATTGTAAAGAGAGCTGCCGTATTACAACCTCAAACTAATATGTCCCTGTCAGTGTCAAGTGTGTGGTGTGTAAGGTCTGTTGCTAAAGTAGATATATCTTCGTGAGGATCATCAACACTTCTCTTGGCTATTTCAGGCATTAATTTTCAATATCGTAGCTAAGCATGGTATAGCCAAAATATAAAACAAATTTGATATAGTTAACACAGTGATTTAAAGACAAAAGGGCTGAGGTTCACGAGCACACCTGGGCCCCGTTCCACAAAGCGATTGTAGCGCTAAGACGATCGTAACTCCAATACTTTAACATTGACTTACGACTTGTCGTAGCGCTACGATTGCTTTGTGGAACGGGACCCTGGTACTATCTGTATGATCCATGTTAGGATATTGGTCTTCAGCAGCCCATGCTTGTCATAAGAGACGACTAACGGGATCAGGTGGTCAGGTTCGAAGACTTGGTTGATGCATGTCATCGTATCCTAATTGTATAGATCGATGCTCATGTTGTCAATCACTGGATTGTCTGGTCGAGACTTGATTTTATATATATATATATATATATATATATATATCTGTACTCTGAACGGAGGTCTGACTGCAAAAATACTTCATTATGAAACAAATGCTTTATTATGATTTTATGTATCTTTAACAGTGAAATAAAAGCGACAAAGTCTATTCCATGATCATAAGACATCTCCACTAAAAGCAAGGTCCACTGTACGATTCCAACTGTATCATAAAAATGTGTTTAGGAACCACTATCAAATAGTAATGATACCATGTGCTCGTGAAAAGGTGACCCTATTCTGTCCCATCGGCGGCACCCATCACAATCAACAATTGTTATGAATGAATACCAGGGTGAAAGATTTTAGCAGTAATGTTTTAATCAGTTGCAGCCTTAACTTATTAACTTATCATATTTTATTTCATCAGCATTTATGACTTGGCCCATTTTCCAAACTATGCTTTTGATGGTCGCATTTAGCATTCTGGTTAGCGTGACCCTCCATAAAAGACAACCTAAGTCTGTACATACTGAAGACCTTTTCTATCATTTATGCCAGATCTGGTGAACATCCTATTTAATATCTAAAAGTTATTCGGATCATAAATGAGAGTATGCTTATTTCATAAGTAGTGTACCATCATCGCGCTCACTTAAGTATAATTATCTCAGAAAATGCACTATGATACCATATTTTTTGTTGTTGTTGAACGGGGCACTCATGGATGTATGGATGTCAACTTCTTTATTATGAGGAACACGTTTGATGAAGGAGTAAGCATATACTCCGAAACGTTGTGTTCCTCATAATAAAGAAGTTGACATCCATATATTCTCTTCCTTATATAAAGGAAAATTCTTACAATCACTATGAGGATTAATAAGTCACCTTGTCATCCAATGGAATGCAAATTGTTTGGCAATTGCCAGTTTGTAATTGTATACTTTAGTGTGAATACAAAAGGATCATTAGAACATCCCCTGAACATTTGAAAGCAATATGCCTCATGGTTTCTGAGAAAAGGTTGTGCTGCTGTGGTAGCCATGTTTTGTTGCAGCCAGAGATTTAGAACATGTTCAGTGATATCATACGAAAATATTCAATGGTTTTGGGAGAGGAATGTCAGACAACTGCAAAAGGTTGCATTTACTTTTGCTTAAACATCAGATTTCTCTTTCATTTCATTTCATTTGCAAAACTACATTTGGATGCCTTGAAGAACTTCAGCCAACTCCCAGTAAGAAACACTCTTAAAAAAGTTACTTCTTAATCCTTTTAAGTGGTTCTGGAGAAGTCAAAACGCTAAACAGTTTTACAGATGCCAAGGATGCCATTGCACCCTCAGGTCAGTGAGGGTATAAAAAATATATACTTTCTGCATGTTGAATGTTACAATCATTTTTTTTTTTTCCAATTACTTCATTTAAAAAAAATTCAGCCAAAGCTTCAAATTTCCCAGGAGCACTAATATGTCTCTAGAGGCATCAGTATGCACAGAAGTGTCTGACGTTTTGAAACAATAATGTTCAATGATATTCCAAAATGTATCATGTTGGAATGTATTACCATGTCATAACTGAGTTCAATTGATCTACATCATGAACCCAATCAAAGTGTCATCAACATATTGATTATTGAGTTTGGTTTAACACGGCTTTGAAATAACAAATAACAAACAACTATTCATGTTCAAACTATTTTATGGTGACATACAAAGCAACACAAAATGCAACCTCAACTCTCAAACTGATCATATGACTGTACAACACATGTGTCTATGTACAGTATATGAAACTAACAGAGCAACATAATCAGTCTAAACATGAGCAAAAATTGCAGGTGTCTACAAACACATTAGACATTTTTAGAAAGTGTTTGTTTGTTTGTTGTTTAACATGACAGTCAGCAATATTGCAGCTATATCATGGCCTGTAAATAATGGAGTCTAGTTCAAGTGAGCAGCTAAATCAAGTATCATTAATAGAAATATTTCTCCATCAGAATCCTCATCAAGAAATATTTCTTTTTCAAAGCTTCCTGTTTTTTTCATACATCAATAGAAAACATTTCATTTGGATGAAAACACCTCAAATGGCTTTTCAGTTAACAGGCTACCAGGGGCCTACACAGGTTCATATATTCCCGTGAAACAATGTAAATGCTATCAATAAAGAAGTGTTTTCTGATTAATCATATTTGAATGTCATAAAATATTTTGATTTAGGTAAATTAATGCCTTTCTGGGGATGAATGAGTGAGTGAATATTGCTTTACGATGCATCAGCAATTATGCAGTTATCTGCCGCAAGCGCTGGAGATGTGTTAATCAGGTGTGAAAAATGAGGAAATTGAAAGCAAGTTCATTGCCATGTTCAGCAACATATTAGATGCATCAGCCAGCAAGATCAGATTACAAAGAGGTACTAGCGCTAGCGATTGTCTTCTGTCTCTGTCAAAGTATGGCAGTTCTGATCATATTAGCGCTAAGATCGCTCTGTCGAACAGGACCCAGGCCTGGAACAGTCAAACCAGCGGCTGACTCGGGAGGAGATGCTAAAATGAGCATCATTTGGGTAACCAACTCAGATGCTCTTCTGAGATAGTTATCCCTCTAACTGTCCAATTTAACAATAGGCAATGCCATCCAATCCCCATTCCATTTCCATCATTGACAATGGACTCTCAAACATATTTCCTCCCTACAATGTCAAGGTATAACATACACAAACAATCAAACTAAATACAGCACACAGACAAGACACAAACATGTCACATGAAGACAATGTCCTCAGTAATGTGTGGTCAACATCAACAAATCAAACTTGTGTAGTGAAACCATTCTAAACAGAATTCATCACATGATCCCTTGGATCACAATTAAGCATACACTGTGGATAACCCATATGATAAACTCAATGTCAACACACAAGACATTAGAAAGTTCAATACTGTTAGCTGAGCACCTGGGACATTGTCTCATCCAAATTTCCTCAATAGTACATATTTCAAAACTCAAATACCACTCCACACGTCTTGTGGTTCATGCCTGTATTAGGTTTATGAGTGGTCATCAGACAGTATTTCAGTACAGTACATCAAAGCTTACAGTCGGAGGAGAGTTAAATTGACTCAGGCCATAGATGTTCCCATATTGGTAAAACCAAACCTCCAAGTACACAATGAGCTCTTTACTCCGATACAATACCCCTCTGCACAAAAATCTGAGATCACCTCCAAAGGAGGTCGCATCAGCTGAACTTTGTATTGAGCGTGAAGGCTATTAAATTCTCAGTACAAGTGTGAAAAGCATTCAGGCCAGCATAGTTTCCATACTATGATTATCATATTCTAGCTACGTATATTACCTTTTCAAGGAATGCACTTGGATTAATATCACTGATACCTCTAACCTAGTTGATAATGATATCAACACACTAAAACCAACTCTGTGCATCAAGAAGCTGTAATACTGCTAAGGTCAAGTCATGCAATAGCATCAAGGCAACCATCAAATACTACATAGTAATATTATCTTTAAAAAAATAGTCTATATACATTGCTGTATGTCTGTTCATGTCCAGTTACTCATTCCACTGATCTTCATAAGTGAATAGAATTAACTCTGCATTTTAACAACAACCATCAAGGTTTAATAGAGAAACTTACATCTTGTTTTACAACTAGTATACTTGTATCACTTCACACCTGTAATAATAATGTGGAGAATATTAGCTCTCAGCAACATTCCAGCTATATGTCAGCAGCCTGTAAATAATCAAGCCTGGACCAGACAATCCAGTGGTTGACATCATGAACATCAATCTACGCAGTTGGGATACGATGGCATGCATCAACCAAGTCAGCGAACATGTCCACCCGATCCTGTTGGTCGTCTCTTACAACAAGCATGGATTGCAGAAAACCACTTCTAACCTGGTTCTTCACTTGAATGATAACATTAACAGCCAACAATAGCTGTATGGTTAAACTTAAATGAAACCTACCAACCAAATTATGTTTTTTTGAAATTTAATATACAACTCTTCCAGTCAGTTGATGTGACTAATACAAAGAATTGAAGTCTTAACAAGAAAGGCTTCTTCTAAAATATTACATGTCTATTTTTGTACAAAAAAACAAGTTGATAAAAAAAAAGTTGGATATGGTGATCCATCAGGTAGAATAAGGACAATTATAATTATCCTGGATTAAAAGCAACTGTTGTTCAGCTGACTAACAAAGATTAGCAATAACAAAATTATCTTGACCTCTGTTGAACTTGCTTTTATCCAGATTCGACTGAAAAAGATCTCTACATGTATTAATTACATAACAGTTCACTTGTAAGCACCATATCAAACAGTATGATCATCACTTCAATAACAGTATTATATTAATTCATCACCACAGACACTTAAATACAATAAATAAATTCAAAATATATACATCAACAGCAGTATAATATTTACAATGTATCACATGTCAAAGATTCATCAGAAAATTTCTTCATATGCATTGCAAAGTAATGAAACAAAAATACAGTATGTGAAATAACAACATTATCTCTAAATCTAGCAATATTATTCTGATAAATCCATACAAGTCTCATTCTCAATGGCATACAATGAATCTGGTTAGGTAGCACTTTTAATCATGAGACAACAATGTCTCTCAATTTAACACTGCTCCACAGATACGTTCAGGTGACCATCGATGAGGGCACCTATTATACATAATGGACTCTCTTCCAGGCGAGGTCAATCATCAACTTGACAGCATTGGCATCGCCCTTAACAAATTAGTCTAGGTAGCGGTGAATGTGTCAGTCCACACAAGATGACCATGGAAGTGAAAGAGTAAATGATTAAGCTAAGGTTGAAAAGGTCAGTCCAATGTCATCTTTACTAGTATCTCATAATATGATTAAACTGGGGTCATTTAAAGACAGTCACAGATGACATCACAGAAGCTAAGTCGTTGTGGAGCTGTTGTGCAAGATAAAACGTACTGGTGAGATGGCACACAAATCGGCAAACATTCTGCAATCTGTGTGGGACAACGGGCATCTCTAAAGGAACTGCTGAGGAATGTGCTGGTTTCTGAGGCCACCAGTCACTTCGAAGCTGACACTCATGAAGGGATGCCTACGAACTGGGGCAGAGGACACAGGCTTCATGTGGACAACACCTTGCGCGTCAGTGTACCTGTAACATGAAGTGATATAATACAGTCCAGGTATCTTACAGATTACATGTCAATCTCCAGTAGGCAAATCTTATACAGGAATATATATACACATGAATCCAATAATGTCTTTACATGCCTGAGACTGACAGTTCAAGATACATCTTACATATGCAACTGGATAAGATCATAAACAGCAGGAAGTGCACAATCAGCTTGAACAGATGCAATACCTGCTGTGCAAATACTGTAAAACTAGGTCATATTTCTGCACAGAAGTGAAAATAGTACTGAGAGTGAAGAAATCTTATCATGCTTATGAAGAAATGAAAGATACAGATTTCCCGCCATTATAAAGTCCTGGCATTGTCAGATATAGAATGGATTTATGAAGGCCCCCACCATCTAAGTGACCAGTACATTGATCAAAGGTTGTTTATTCGAAGATTTCAGTTGCGACACATCTGATATCTAGTCTTATCTTCAATACAGTTATTTCAGGAAAATTAAATTCAAGATAATTTGAGTATTTCTGTTAGTATTAGGAATAATAATATACGGAGAAATGGGGAAAAGCATGAAAGCAAAAACGTTAGTAACAAAATATTATCTGCAATAGGATGCAGGATTACACATGTCCTGAAAAAAAGAAAACCACACTACCTAATCCACTAAAAAAACTTCAAATCTTTTCTGAGACACACATTTTGTAATTCAAATAGTTACGTAAGGTTTCAATCAATAAATTGAAGAAGGTGCTTAATAATACAATCAGATACAATAATGTGAGCATGCCAAAATATTTCAATGATATGTAGATTATAATTATAAACAGCGAACTTTAACATTAGGTTGAAGTAATCATTTTGACAAAATATGTATCTCAAATAACTAACTAGCTATAACCTACAACTCTAACAATTTTATTCTTTTGGAGTCAGGTGAAATATGCACACCATGGTGTGAGAACCTTTCTCTATGTAGAGACGCTACAGTGAATGGAATCAATGCAGCCAGTCTGCATGAAGAACCTGCTAGAACTAGGAGCCATGGGCCTTGACATTAATCCTGAACAAGATCTGTCGGGTTAGGTAGGCTAGACCCACAGCTGCAACTTACGAGGACTCCCTGGGTGAGACGCACTGTCAAGTTCAAACCAACAATTACTGATCATTTGTCAACTTGCGAACCACAATTCATACAATTGTTGTCAACAGGCATTGACACAAGTTTCTCACGTTAAATGGCGCATGAAATTTGCTAAAAGCCTCCTTTTAACAACGCATGGTGACAATGGCATGTGAGGTTTATGCAACTCAGAATTCACATAAGAATCCATACCCCTTTGACAAGATGTGCTAGGGTACGCACAGAAAAATACTCAAAACCATTAAAAAGCTCTTAAAATATTTACCTGATGGAGAAACTTTTTTGAAAAACAAGTCATACAACAATCACCAACCTTTGTTTACCTGAGATGTGTATTTTAACATCCAATATGTAGCTACTTAAAAGCCTTGGCATTAATGAAAAACACATAGGGGCTTATACTTATCATTGTGAAACTTTGCCATGCATAATTTCTATGACACTTCAACACTACAATTTTTAGACTCTTTCAGTTTGTTCTGCGACTGAAAACAATAATGGATCAACCAATTAATAATAATCAATTGAAATGATAGATTGAAGTAATTACAAAATGGGCCTGAACTTGTTTGTACAAGGCAGACGCTGTTTTTTTAAGGCTCCAAAATACAACCTCATTTGTTGCACGTCAGATTTGATTATCTTTAAGCTCAAATTAACCAACTGTATTGGACAATAGAATAATTATGATCATAAAAAAGGACTCATTTATTTTCTTCTCTGACAAACAAGCAAAGAACAAACTGCTTAGCTACAGCTATTTCTGACACAAATTACTCATCTGTCAAAGTTTGTTTCCTTCAAGTAACCATGGTGATTGCATTTGAATGAGTTAAGGTCTCCAAATCAAACCCTACATGTCATTGGCAACAATTTGAGTTCTATTATCATTACTAGTTCTGGCATTACCATGCGTAAAGAATATGATTGAATAAATTGTTCTGTTGCCAAACAATAAAAATAATAATTGTGTTGAATTAGCACCCAAACCAGGCCTAAAATACCAGAAATGCAAATGCATTGATGGATAAGTGACAACAATGATCTGCAACTCAGATACAGATTGCATGAAGAAGAATCTACCACTTTGTTTGTTTGTTTGTTGTTTAACGTCATACTCTGCAAATATTCCACACCTGTAAATAATCAAGTCAAATCTTTTGGAGCAACAATCTATGCCATCAGGAACAGTGACTCGTGACCACCCAATCCCCTAAGTCGCCTCTTATGGCCAGTATAGGTTGCTGGGACTTATCCTAACACAGAATTGAAGCGGAATATTTACAGGCTATCATATAGATGCAATATTGCTGAGTATAGCATTAAAAAGACAGACAAAAAAAACCAAGGAACTGTCACTGATGATAAATTATCAAACACTTTGAGCTGATGTGTCCACTGTCAATACTTTCCTTGACATATACGAAATACTTCTATGTGAACTTGATACTTCAAACCACTATTTCCATGCACTGCACTGTGCATATGCATGCTGAATTAAATGCACTGTGAAAGATCCACACATTTTAAGTTGCTCAGTGTGCTATGAATACAGCTGTTATTGACATCTGTCAAAGTGAAATTCACATCACATCGTCAATAATGCAGGGCATGCATCATCAAACATGCTATATACGAGCAGCAACCAGGTGGAAAATTGGGTGTTAGAGAAATCAATGTCGTTACATACGAACACATATCAAGTTGATCCGAAGGCACTAAAAGTTGCCTCCCTTTGTCTCATGATAAAAGATTGGGGGATTTCAGGAAATCTGAAAACAAGATTATGGGTTCAAGCATTCAAATAAAATCTCAAACTTGAGCTTTAGGGATCCAAACAGATTATGATCATGCTTTCAACACACTTATAGTGCAATAACATCCCATGTGGAAAATAGTGTGGGTATTAGTCTCAAAATATGGAAGGACTATGATCGACTAAAGATTTCAGAAATAATGTATTGGCAATTTTGAGGCAATTAACAATATATGCCAACAGGAAGGGTGTGCTGTTAGTATATTGGTGAAATTAACTCGATATCATGTTTATATTGCACTAAAACACTGACATTGGGATGCTAATGAAAGTGAATTACGTTGCGCAGATGCATAAAACATTGCGTCGGATCAGTCCTTAAAAGGAAAAAAAATTAACATTTTTACAACCCTTCCAAACATAAATCATTATCTGAGAAATCTTTGATGTTTTCAATTAAACAGAATTTTCTTCTGTTTAAACCATTTTAGACTGAATACATCTCAATTTTTGCTTTTCATAACTTTTAATTCTAATGTAAACAAACAAATCAAACTGCATATAGCCAAATTTTCAATACACAAATTACTAATTACTATATCTGTATTTTATACCTGTTTGCCTTATAAGTCATGTCAGTGCAAGTAATAATCCTACATTCTGTAGGCTGGTTGGTCATAATCCTTCCACAGCTGGGGCAAGGGAAAAGGGAAGTAACTGGATTGTTCAGCAACAGCTCACTCAACATACCTCCTCAAAGCTAGCAAAATCTTGTACATTTCTGAAGTAAATCAGAAACTCATAGATTTGCTTTGTTTCTATATCCTGGCTCTGAACACAGAGGTGCAATTGAACAAGAAAGAGACTCATATTGGTAAAAATCACACATTAATAATGCTTCACGGCCATAAAGAAGACCCTACAAAACCAAAACCTAATGTAAACACCGGAATGATGCAATATAGATATTAACTGTCTGTGCAGCATTTGTTTCGAAGAACATCATCACACTCAACCACGGTAACTATGGCATTCACAAATCTCAAATATTCTAAAAATTTACTTTAAGCATTATCTTCAATTAACACAAGCTTATATTCAAAATGTCATTTCAACCAATAATTTGTTGCAAAGTAAAGATGTAGAGGATGTTCCATGTGTCAAGTGAAATATCATGTTTCTCTCATCGAGTGACAGGGAAAGGAGGTATTTGCACAAGTGGCATAGCCATAAGTGAAAATATCTTTCTCCTGTCATGAGATGAGAGAAACATTATCTTTCTAGAGACACATGGAATATCCTATTTATTATATACTTTTGTGTAGTTGTCTACCGTAAAATTAAATTATTTCATTACAAATGTAAAACCTTGAATATACCCTACCTAACCAACAAGGTTACAACCCCTTATAATTGTGACTGAAAAAGTACTTCCGTGTTTGCAAAATCTTAAAAAATATGAACAAAAAATATTTGAGGTAAATAACATTCCTTATCATACATTATGATTATATACAAAATCAACTTCAATAAAAAATATTCTTGAAATCTACGAATCTGTTGAATGCGAAAGAATGGACTGGACACTGGTCAAGTAACAAAAATGGCACTTTGTGGAAACTACAATCTCGATTGACGAGTTAAATGAGATATTTACAGTTTATAACAAAACATTTTTAAGAGAATAAATAACAGCAAGAAGCAATATTATCTCCATACGACTATCTGTCATTATTTTGCCTCATTAATGTGGCACTAGTGCAAAAAAGAAGTCAACAGTTTGTGTAAGGGAGGTAAATCTTGCAAGACAATAGTTCCGTCAAAGCATTATATGCACTGAAATCCCCTTTTTTCTCAACTTCAGAAAACTTTCACATTGAAGTATATAATAAAAAGCGTTCATGCGCTTAAGCAAAAACATTATGAAACATTTTCTGAAAAATCCTCGGCAAACATACTTACTTGGCACGAAGGACACCACTGCGGGTTTTACTGGCACGGTTGTTGACAGTGGTGTTGACAGTGTTGTCAGACATGTTGTTTTTAGCCAACAACTCATCAAACTGTTTCCGTGGTAACCCTGGTAAAATATTTAACATATATATTTTTTCATGACAATCACAAATAGTGTAACCAAAAAATAGGCTGTCTTCCCAATGCTACATTCTGGCGCCATATTCTCTTCAAAATCTTTTTCAGTATTACAAAACATTTAAGCAAGCACGTTTTACTGCAACACATTTTAACACATAACATTTTAATCAATGCAATCATTGTTTACATACTGACAACAGTGTTAAACATGTAGATACATATCTATGTAAAATGACATGGTGATAGATCAGAAATGCTTGCTTGATAGTGTACATGGTGTAATAGACATGAAGTTCTACACATTTACACAAGTTTCTATCCAGAAAACACTGGAAATCATGTAAATCCAAGTCATTGTTTTTATCTGGAAATACATGCTAATTCTTATCAATTTCAGTAACGATACTGATAAATCCCCAAAGCTCATTTTGACAAAAGCTGTAATAGTTAAAAGTAGCTATACAACTCCAAAGCTGTACCCATCAAAGGGATATAAATAATCACACACAGAAAAAGAAAAACTCAACAAAACATAATTACCCCGGGTACCTCATTCGTCTATTGTCACAATATGACTGAATTTATGCCGATGCAACTTCATATGTTAACTCACTCAATTTATACTCTTATCTTATAGGTTAACCATCTTTTTAAACATGATAACTGAAAACATAATGTGCCAGGATAACATAATATTTAAACTACAGATAAGACATTGTCAACAGAACCAATTCAAAGAGTTCATTAATTTACCTGGCATCAAATATCCAGGAACACTGGAACTCTTTGGTGGTCCTTTCACAGGAGGAAGATCCTTGTGACCTACAGCAGAACAGATGGCACTACACATCATCTACATAGCTTCAACAGGAATCCCTGGTAATATCAGAGCATGTTCTTGTGATTCATCATTGCAGTTTAAAACAACCCTTGCACCATATCCAAATGCATAATTTGTTAAACTGATATTTCCTTCAACAATCAGTCCAAATTTTATGATGTCCCATGTGGTCAATCGATGCATGCTACATCTAATATTCAATGCCATTGTCTCACAAAGCAACCTGTTTGTTATTTAACACCACACTCAACAATATTCCAGCTATATGACGGCGGTCTGTAAAGAATCTAGTCTGAAACAGACATTCCAGTGATTGACATCATGAGCATCGACCTACGCAATTTGGATACGATGACATCATGAGCATCGACCTATGCAATTGGGATACGATGACATACATCAACCAGTTCAGGAAGCCTGACCACCCGATCCTGTTCATTTTAAAGTAACCTCTTAAGTCCAATTTTCATGGCGACAAAGCAATATGAGCTATGGCAGTTTTCTGAATCTCTCTGTACAGCTGGAGCTTGGTCAACCGAGCCCAAGAAGTCAACAATGATAAAATAAATTGTTAAACTGTTGAATTATGTTACCAGTTCAAAGACTGAAAAACTAAACTGTATCCAAGTCTGAACTACCATTCACCCTACATAACCATGATGAAAGCAGTATTACTTGCAAACAGATTTGCCACCTGCATAACACTTTTCCATGGCCGATATATAAATACATAAATAAAGTCTCTCCATCCACTTCAGTTTCATTCCCTCATCCTTACATGCCCAGTACTCTTCCTATTCCACCCATATACAGCAAACGTGTCATTCTTGTCATACACACATACATATGGCTTCAGACCGCCTCCGTGGTCTAGTGGTAGAGCGTCCGCCCGGAGAGCGGAAGGTCCCGGGTTCGATCCCCGGCCGCGTCATACCAAAAGACATTAAAAGATGGTACTTGTTGTTACCCTGTCTGGCGCTCGGCATTAACTACCATTCACCCTACATAACCATGATGAAAGCAGTATTACTTGCAAACAGATTTGCCACCTGCATAACACTTTTCCATGGCCGATATATAAATACATAAATAAAGTCTCTCCATCCACTTCAGTTTCATTCCCTCATCCTTACATGCCCAGTACTCTTCCTATTCCACCCATATACAGCAAACGTGTCATTCTTGTCATACACACATACATATGGCTTCAGACCGCCTCCGTGGTCTAGTGGTAGAGCGTCCGCCCGGAGAGCGGAAGGTCCCGGGTTCGATCCCCGGCCGCGTCATACCAAAAGACATTAAAAGATGGTACTTGTTGTTACCCTGTCTGGCGCTCGGCATTAAAGGGCTAAAACAAGGACTGGTCGGTTGGAGTCAGTATATTGTGTCTGAGTGGGGTATCCATGTTAAACTGCGGCATGATATCTCAGTGTGCTAACACACACACACGTGCATGCACGCGCTATATAAGTGCAATAATCTTGGACGCGACGTTAAACCCAATTTCACCTCACCTCACCATATGGCTTCATATACAAAACACAATACATACAAAGCCTTGTGATTGGGTGTATGACAAAAATGACATATGCATAGCTGTAGTGGTAAGTCTCTGGGCATGGAATAGAATGAGTATTATTTATAAAATAACTAGCAGGCATGTAGATGACAGAAATAACAATATGCCACATACAGAAACATACTTTCAAGGCATACAACAATATCCTGAAGTGCCATATACTAGAGATGTCATTGTATATCATGCTATCAATGTATCAAATTTCTATACTATATCAATACAAATTTGTGAATATCAATACAAATTTGTGAATATCAATACAAATTTGTGAATATCAATACAAATTTATGAACATCAATGCTTAATGCCACAGATATATTACAATCATAAAGACTACTATGGCTGAGGATAACGAAAAGGCAGAAAATTCCATTTTAAACATTTAATGGTTCAATCTAGTTCAGAGTTAGCATAAAATTGAAAATTGTTTAACTGCAGGTCTACAAGGGATTTTATTATCCATAAAAGTACAGGTTAACTAATTTTATTATTAATCGAGATATCAATATATTACGATACTTTTGGGTGGATATATTGACATACTCCAGTCCATTGTAAGCAATTTAACATTAATACAAGATACATACTCAGCATAATTATTGAGGTGTCATGTAGATAATTAAAGTACCGGTATTAAAAAAAAGGTCAAATTTTCAACTGCCAAGAGTGCAGTTCAGTGGCATCTGGAATAAATAATTTAAACCCACATTGACTGTTACTTGTCATGTATTGCAAGTGCAACGCTAAACCATTGGTTGAGTTCAGGCAAGTGTTTTGGGCGGCTATTTTCCATCACCTTCAATCTTGCACTTTCATTTTTTTAATGGACATAGTCCATTTGTCCAGTTTCATAAAAGTATCCAATCAGTGTGACATAGGCATTAACATGTTCTTCAACTGTTGATCATATTGTCAACACACTCTGACATATCGACACTTGTTGGCACATGTTCATGCTTGACACCCTACATATCCAGGTGACCCTTCAATAGTGATGCTGAGTGTTTGTGAAGTGTGGATTTAGAGAGGATAATAATCCCATGTTTATCACATTTCTCATGTTAACAGTTCAAAGAAATATATAACATGATTAATTTGAGACTTAATTTACAAATACTTACACTTTGACAGTTACAAAAACAGATAAGCTACACACATTAGTAACCACTACTTATCAAACTGAAAAGAATGAGACATTAGGCACTACAGAGATCAAAAGCACAGACAATATGGAGATGAAACTGGCACAAGCAGTTATGTTGCTGCACTAGCAATTTAGGAATCATTTATTCTACAAAACAAATTCAAGGTCATTAGTACATTAAACATGCTAACTACTGAAGTTGCATAATAAAACTGCTATCCATTTTATGAGAAATTGGGGGGGGGGGGGGTCCGGTGGGGGGGAGTCACGCTTATGCTTTTCATGTTTCAGATTTCTAAACCTGAATATCTACTTTTAATGGACTGATGGAGACCAAAGCCAATCAAGACATCAAGTTAGTTTTCACAGTATATTGAACAAAACATACTCACACACTCACTACAATTCAAAACTAGATGTCACTTGATATGAGACGTTAAAAAAATTAGATAAAATATTATGTGTCAACACCCAATTTCCACACAGGTATTATCAGGAACAAGGCCCTGACTGTAACCCTCACCAACAACATGTAAAGTTGTACATCTAAGTATACATTGTACTCCTGTGAAAAGCTTAGCATGAAACTGATAACCTACACAACACAACAGTTCACCAGCTGCTGTATCTGCCTGTACTTACCACCTATTGCACTGTCCACATCCTCATCCTTGTTTGTACCAGCTGGAGAAATGTACACATTACAAACCTCTATGTATGTTGTTGATCAAAGACAGTTGAGCACAAAAAAATCAATGCCCCAACACATAGCAAAAAACAACCACCAACATAAACGTCAATGACAAATGTGCATTATAAACAAAATTACCTCAACTGGGAAAGATCAGCCAGGGAACGAATCAAGAATTAATAATTTTCAGGCCAGCAAGAGTTGAAAAGAAAGGCCTTAAAGAATTCAGCTGTGTATCATCGTATTCATAAATATGGATCTAGGAAGCTAAGTGTACATGTTTCGTGTCCAAGTGGAGACCCAGTCAAGGATATATATTTCCTCCCAGTTTCTTCCCACAGTTGTGAAGAATATAAAGAGTGCACGAACATACATAACAACACAAGCACTATATATATGCTCATTAGTGAAAACTGAGCCTAGGTGAAATTTCTTGCTTCATGATTGTCATGTGAACATCAAATTGGCCAAGCACAACCTGCATCAACCCAACCAAAGCTGTGTTGTTATTCTCAGTGCAACATTTACTTACTATGAATCTCAGTCATGTCCGCCATCATCGTTCCTTTCCGCAGGAGTTCATCTCGCTTTCTCTTCTGTGTTTCTTTGCTTGCATGCCAGTTGCACAAAAATTTACGAGATGTTTCAGAGATCTCCTTCCCATCTAGCATCTCTGTAGACATTCATTTTACAAGAATTGTTATGTAATCCTACAAATGTCAAAGGTTGCAAACATTGTGAGTTACATAAGCAGAAAATCACATTCCAATCATATGTCTGTAGGTATTTCAGTCAATGAAGAATTATCCCTATGAATGTTTTAGGTATGTAGATATTTCAAAACTTTCAAAATATCTTTGATAACCTTTCATCTTATACACTGATTTACAATATTTTTTAGAGTAAAACTATAATTTGACACTTTTTTGAAATACATGAAATACAAACTAGTACTAAACAATAGGGGCATTAAAGATGGTTTCTATTTACCTAAATGTTTTGACATGACAATAATTCTGTCCCTGTATTTGGCCTTGTGACACACTGGGTTGCCCATCAACTCCAGCCTCCACAGGAAGGGCCACAGTCCCAGAATATGAGCAAGCTCCTTCATGTCATTGAGGAAGTTGTCACTAGCCATCATCTGTGTGAGACGCTTCAACACCTCCAGGTCCTTAACGCTGTCCAGGTTATTGCCTGATATGTTGAGCACTTGTAGAGTGTTCTGGAAGTGAAGTCACATATTACCATCATAACACTGACTGTGAATGGCCAATTGTGCATACAAAACATTAGAAAAAGGCATTTTAGGGCCTGAATGTTTGTGAAAATAAATAAACGTTTTCTTTGTTGTTTAGCGCCACAATATTCCAGCTATATGACGGCGGTCTGAACCAGACAATCCAGTGATTGACATCATGAGCATTGATTTCTGCAATTGGAATACGATGACATACATCAACCAAGTCAGCAAGCCTGACCACCCAATCTCGTTAGTCGCCTATTACAAGCATAGTCGCCTTTTACGGCAAGAATGGGTTGCTGAAGACCTATCCTACCCCCTGATCTTCATGGGTCTGCAAAAAACAAAACAATATGATCCATCCAAACTTGTCATAATTAGATATCAATATTAATGTGTATATTACTGCTATAACCAGGAACAGAATGCTAAATTTTCCATATATTTTCAATTACAAGAATGACACCTCATATACATACAGCGAGAGTTCTGAGTGACCTGGGGTCAAAGAGCAGCTTCTCTCCTGGGGGCAGATGCTGGTTCTCTACGTGCAGCTCCTGCAGCTGGTCCAGCTTCTCTAGCCCCTCCACAACCGTGATGTTGTTGCCACCGATGTAGCTGAAACACAGCACAGGGGTAGACACCACTGGTCATATCCAACTCATATTTACTTTTTTAGTTTTCAACAATACAGGAAGATAATGAAATAAAACTACAAATACCAGCTTGAGATGGGTGAGTTGAAATGCGGTTTATAACGTCACGTCCCAAGATTATTGCACTTATATAGCAATTTCAAAGCACCAGGCAGGGTAACAACAAATACCATCTTTCAACATATTTGGGTATGACGTAGCTGGGGATCGAACCCCGAAACTTCCAGGGACCCCTTCGGCATAAACACATGGGGTCGTTTTCAAAACTTATGGGGACACACTCTGAGAGTTCATATAAAACTTTCAACCTGATATGCAGGTTATTGATGCAGAATCTAACCATCCACACGTAGTGTTAGCGATACAAAGAGAGTTTACATGGTATCTTTCTCAGATGTAACGTAGTGCAGCAACATCTGAAGTCATATATGTTTAGCCTCAACAGTTTGTTTGTGATCACTGCTATTAGCATGTCTCTTCAAGGTACTCATATTCTAAAATTAGAATGTAGCTTTTTCATTGAATTAGATTTCACGACATGTCGCAGTATTTCTTTCTGATTTATGCTTCTACCATGTGTAGTCACGAAGTCAGGTTCTCTGTAAATTTCTACCTGCCTCAGTTTTTCTATCTTTCCTCAGTCTGACACCATGGTAGATGTCAGGTGAATAGTGTCCAATTAAAAAAATTAGATATACATGGTGAAATTTTGACTAGCCAGATGGACCATCTACTTTATGTTTCAGGAAGCCCTTTGTAATTTCAACTGGCTATGGGCCAAAGGGCAAGCAGTTAAATCGTCCCCTGTGCAAGAATATGTGAACTCGATTCTGATTCGACCATTTGTGGCTTGAAGCCAATGAAAGTTGCTAGTTGTAAATTGAAAGTTTAAGATGCATCAGACATCGAATATAACAATGTTTACATTCAATAATAGAAGCAGCTGTCCGAGTATGCTGTCCATAATTATATAAAATAAACCAATCCACATATATACGCCCAATGTCCGACTGAGTGTAAATATCATGCACCAATCAATAAAAATTATTGTGAAAATTCTTTGAGGCCGCTGCTCGGCAGAACACTGAGCCTTATATGCCCTGAACTGTGCCTGAATTTACCCCTTGGGTACAGTGTGCATTATCAATCTATTGATTAACAATGTTAGTATTAACACCAACCAAAGAGGTTGCAAGAGACAAGTGTCATAAGGATGTTCTCAAGATTGTAGTAAATTTCAAAAACATATTTTTTTATACCATTATCAAAATTGTAAAATATCTTCAGGACATTTCGGACGGCAATCAGAACTGAAACTGAGAGTTAAAACATCACTGTTGAAAACCTAAGTGTAGCAAAACTCACAGTTTTACAAGTCGGTTGAGGGGCCCAAGGTTTTCTATTTTGCAGATGTTGTTGTTCTGTAGATATAAGTGAGTGAGGCTCTGGTTGTGATGGAGAACCGGCACTTTACTCAGTTGGTTGTCATAGAGATACAGGACTATCAGGTTCCGGCACAATGCCAAGTCCTCACCCTGAAGGAAAACAAGAAAGGAAAATAGTATGACAGACAGCAATCAATGGACACTGACATTTTCTCAACATGCTCAATGCATATAATGAATGCTTAATTTTGATAACTCATCAGCCCAAAAGAATAATAAATTACGGTGTCATGGGTAAATCTTTCTGAAATTGACACCAAGTCAGTGTCTCAAGTATTCTTGAATTAAATTCCTTGTTTGGCATTAAAATTGAAAAACTGTTTGTTTACAGAATCCTTATGAAGCCTGATCAATTTTCTTCTTTTTCTTATTTCTGGGTATTGATCAACTTGACCAATATGCCAAGATGCAGGAGGCAAAAACATATTGATTTGAGGTTAATTTCCCATACATAAACATTTTTTAAAAGCTTTAACACAATTTCAGACAAACTAATGTGAAAAAACCCATTACTTTTTCACTTTTGCAATAGCTGAAGTAGAATCATCTGTTAACACAGAATTGCCTGAAGATAAATCAGTCTGGTCTGTGATTATAAAAAAAAAAATTTGTAGCTCAATCGGACAATAATGATACTGTATTTTCTTGAGTATAGTGAGCACCCCATCTAGGGGATTCAGAATTGGGGGGTGGGGGGATTTTTTTTAGTATTATGCGCAGTTAAAGATTACATCATACCCCTTAAATGATTTTGGGGAAACAAACAGATTAACTAAACAGCTGATCATACTAGCCAAGCACTTACTTACAGATGCCTTTCCTGGGCCAAAATGCACTGTTGTCCATCATACCAATTGACCACAGCACTTATCTAAAATCATTAATAACACTGGCCCAGACTTTGAAGAATAGATAAATACAGATCGTACTGCCATGATGACTAGGAGTTAACTAAATCCACACTTCACTATCTATATAGATCTGTCTACAACTTCTACATGAAGTATCTCTGGTTGTTTAAGTCCATTGTGAATGTTTGCATGGCTCTTCAGCTGCCAGTACTGTGACATGTGAGTAGGAATTTGACAGAGGATTAACAGCCAGACAGTGAAAGGTAATCTCTCTCATGATATACCTATCACAAGGAGTGGAAATTTACAACTGTCCAAGGCCCTTAAATTTTCCTCAAACCTGTATTGATCGGAGGATACTTTTAGTACAAAATAACATGAAATTCTGACAAAATGAGAAGTGTTTATTCTGTCAACCAAGGTGTCAAGATGGGGACAGTAGTCTTGAGTTTTATGAGTGATAAAAGGCAGATGGTATCTTCCAGAAATGATGAAATAACTGATAAATACAAACTCTTCAAACTGGACCGAGCTTAAAAAAAATCTGGCACAAAGTCAGGTTTGGATCATCTTCCCGAGGCATGGGAGTTAACTGACTCTAAAAGTCCAGTTTCCACCCTTGCCGAACAAGGATGGAATTTTTTGGCTCAATTGTAGCGCCACCAGTTGCTATTACGAGTTACGTTCCTTCTAGCCCTTCCTATTGACCAATCAGATTCCACCTCTCATATGACTTGCATTTGTTTCAAACATAATGGCAGCACGATCTGATTGATGATCAACATATATTTTGTAATAAAATGGGCCTTACCTCGCGAAGTGCATCAAATCATGTGAGCACCTTGATTAAAAACATGAAAAGATTTGAGAAATATCTGTCAACACCAAGTTGGCAGTATACATGCTTTGCAAATCCGGCAGTCGACTGAAATCTGCTTGTTGAAATCCATGTTGTTTACGAACTGGATGCCGAATTTGTTACGCGATTTTGATTGGACTATGCATGGGCTCGTCAGTCCGGCCAAATTATGACTCCATAATTGCAGCCTAGTTCGGCAAAGGGGGAAACTGGACTTTTGCCTCAGGAAGATAGGTTTGGATAGATTCCAATAAATCTAGTTTTGTGTCATTCTGTGTCTTGTATTGACATAAGCATATTGTCACATTTTGCTTTCTCAAAATAACATATTCTCAGAAAACCAATGTGATACCATGCAGGGTTCAGATCAGTTCAATTTCCATGACACTGAAAGATTGTCACCTGAAATGTCCTAACCATATTTTTTCAAATTTGGTATTGATACACAAAGTCACCCAACACCATTTTGCTACAGAGTAAAGTACTGAACATGTTGCAACTTCCTATTTATCAACTCATATCATACATTTATAATCCTGATAATGACAGCTGTACATGATATTTTACATGCTCTGTACTGATAAACTTAATAACATGCATGACTCTTCAGCTATATATTTAGACACAGAGTCTTGTTTTTCTGTAGGTTTAATTAACATGACAAACTATTTAAACTACTGGTAAGTATTGTCAATAGCAGACATGCTTTTACTTTTAGACAACATTGATCCGAGTTCATGAATTTCAATCACTGTCATAACCGGATGCAAACACTTGCAACACTCTTATTGGAGTGCCACTGACGTTTTTCATGCAGACTTACAATATGTACAGTTAAGATTAATAGTGAAGAACCCAATCTGAATAATGATTGTGAACTTTCACCTTTGACTGGTTAACTTGCTGTGCCTTGCCGAAATACAGTTTTGAAACGATTGGTTTTCTGGCTCAAACTAGGCCAGCCACTGGTGGATCATGTTGATAGAAACGATGTGACCAGATGAGGGACCTCATGGGTGAAAAATCACATTTTGACTTTTCATTATATTTTAAAACTACAGCATCTTCGCAACACAAAAATACAATTCACAAGCTTCAAATTCATATTTATTACAGTGATACATGACATCACAAATGGCGGTCATCACTCAAGTTGACGTCATGGCACAATTATATTCAAGCACCCATAAGGTTCCTTTTCTCATGGTGGGTCACAAATATTGATACACAATGGCGAATGCTATGGCTAAATCTTTAATGTACTCATGCATTGCACAGATTCACAGCGTAAAACAAAACTTGAGTTAAAAACTTTCCTCCAATCAATTTAGTATGAAAGCTTATTACAATCTATATGTAACATTTACACTGAAGAATATGAGGAGGGACAGGTTTGGGCGCGTTGACTCCACTGCACGGTGTATTGATTAGCATGATTAGAGACATAACAATTGATCAAACTATCAATGAATTCACAATTACTCATGGCCTAATCATTTATTAGTGACACTATGTCGATAACAAGGAAAAACATCAATAAATGACATTCACAATACTATGATACCTAGTGTTTGAAATGAAGTAACATATCTTGTTTGTTGTTTCATACTGTAATCAGCAATATTCCAGCTTTATAATGGTGGTTTGTTAATAATCCAGTCTGGACCAGGCAATCCAGTGTTTGAGATCAAGAGCATCGATCTATGTAATTTGATCAACCAAGTCAGCAAGTCTGTCCACCCAATCCCATTAGTTGCCTCTAACAGTTAAGCATGAGAGTAAAAGAGTCCTTTTTCAAGACAGGAGACTATGCTTGTCGTAAGAGGCGACTAACAGGATCGGGTGGTCAGACTGACTTGGTTGGAGCATGTCATCGATCCCAATCACATGGATCGATGCTCATGATATCAATCACTGGATTGTCTGGTCCAGACTCGATTATTTACAGACCGCCGCCATATAGCTGGAATATTGATGAGTGTGGGCCAAGTCAGCAAGTCTGTCCACCCATTCCCGTTAGTTGCCTCTAACAGTTAAGCATGAGAGTAAAAGAGTCCTTTTTCAAGACAGGAGACTATGCTTGTCGTAAGAGGCGACTAACAGGATCGGGTGGTCAGACTGACTTGGTTGGAGCATGTCATCGATCCCAATCACATGGATCGATGCTCATGATATCAATCACTGGATTGTCTGGCCCAGACTCGATTATTTACAGACCGCCGTCATATAGCTGGAATATTGCCGAGTGTGGTGTAAAACAACAAACCAACCAACCAACCTTTTCATGACACTATAATGTTAAACATAAAACATCTTGGGGGTCCCTTGATTAAAATACCAGTATGAGAGCAAACATGAGGACCCCAGTTAGTTTTGCTGATTTTGATAGATCTGCGAAATAAAATCTTTTCTTATGTGAATAGGCGTCACATGTCATCTCAGAGAAAACTAAACAAGGTTTACACTTCTACATACCACTTCATCTATAGACTTGTCCTCTAGGTAAAGATGTGTTAATCGTCGAAGATACTGCTGCATTGATTCATCTCGCTTCTTCTTTGTATAGCCAGATGTACCACGGGCAATCAGGTCTATTGTCAACTTAGGCATCTTGGATGCTGTTAGATCACGAACTATTATAGGGCAATGTCCATGTTTCAAGCTTGCTTAATGACATGGCAATACATAGTTATTGTGTATATAATCCATGGGCGGTATTTTTACATTTCTGAAACAAACAAAAACTAGATTAGATGAAAATATTGATTCATTTTGGTTTACTAGCAAAACGTAATTTCATATTATTAATAATTAAACAACAGTCTTTCATATATCCACACAACATCATCCTCCTGCCACCAATTCAAAGATGAGGATTTCTGAAATTTATCTAAACTTGATCAGGGCCGAGGAAGCAAATGTCAAGTGAAAGGGTACACAAAGTATGTGATGTTGAATACCAGTTGTCAGACTTTCATTTTTGTGGAAGCCTCGATGGCCGAGTGGGTTAGATCGCGGACTTTGTGTGCTGGCGATTAGGTGCCTCACTCTGGCAGTGTGGTTCGAATCCCGGATGGGACTCAACCCCCCAAAAGTACGAGAATCTGTACTTTACTAAGAAAGTGTTACCCCAAATATATCATTTGTTACATTTGACCACTTTCCATGGCATTGTATGTTCATAAATATTATTTATCAATCTCATTAAAATCAGATCTTAGTTCTCGCTATTGCTAAACAAAGATCTGAGGACATCCCATTAGGGGACACGTCAGAATGCCCTTTCATCAAACCAATCAAAGCATCGCTTACCAGATCATGAAAGTGACAGTCGGAATGTGTTTTCTCATCATGCAACCTCGAAAAAGTTAACACGGGGTAATCTGAACAACAGTTAAGGCCCATACGACTGATTCCGTCAAAATTATCGTCTACCTCTCGCTTCCGTGGGTCAAACATTTGAACGGAGGAGGCGTTGCACAGTACATGGGAAGTACTGTCATACAATCTCAGCCATATATTAGACATTCTGAAATGTTCGTTTGTTCACTTTCAAAAATTTTAATCGAGAACTGTGCCAACATATTTTTCATGCGTATTCTGAAATGGAAGTCGCCAGGTTGAAACGAGTACCTTAAAGCTCTAGAAAGCAGCTTTCTAATTGGCTGATGTTTGTCATTTCAGTGGTTGGTCAAAGTTCGCGAAAGGTCGTTCTGACGTGACCCGTAATGGGATGTCCTCAGATCTTTGTTTAGTGGCAGCAAGAACTTAGATCTGACTTAAATGAGATTGTATTATTTATGTTCTTCTTTCATGTTTATTTCATGTAAAGGAGTTACCCTGTGTGGATAATAACTATGAAATTGCTTGGAATGATCAATGACAATGATTTACAGAATGCAAGTGCTCTACTACCTGAGATTATACCAGTGACATTTCAGCAACAAACTAAGCACTTTTTATGTTTCCCTTGTTTTAAAACCTGAGTATTTTTATCATTGTATTTTCTGCATTGCTGTTTCCTTGTTGAATCAACACTTCCAAAAAAAAAAATGGAATCCAACACCATATGGTATATATTGTTGGATCATAGGTTTACGGACAACATACGTTTTCGGGTGGCTTTGTTTATCTCAATTACTTGCATTATAACAAGGAGTGTGGCATTACGCAGACATTGTAAATACTCAGATAATGGCTTGTTATTAAGATAAAGCTATCTTTAATAAGTGACTGACATGTATTAGGCTACAGATGTTAATGTGATTTGCGAGAAAACTACGAATGTTTTTTAAGTATCCGAAAACCCATATGACAGGCTTATATGGTCTCTGTAGAAACTAAATCCTTTCACAGTAGGTGGACTGGTTACTCAATACATTTTATGTGTAATCATGGAAATGTGCTGTTCATACATAAATAAACAGAGAATTTATAATGTATTCTAAATCAGATCAATTCTAGACAATTCCGCACACCAGTCAGTTACCTATTTAATTAACTACGCATATACTGCTGATTATCTTACCATTCAACCATCCTCACTATAAATTATCACACCACTTTGAGGACATAAATGCAGAGTTTATCGCAAATGTCTAATATTATTAGATTAATGATATTGTGTCAGTGTGGGATAAATCGCAACAACATTTTGGGGCCTAATAGTAATAATTTGAAATTGATAGCTTATAGAGATATCTAATTTCTTCACCGAAGTGATCAAGTTGTAAAACATGTCATTATGACACGTTAACATCATGTTATAGTATAACAATTGAACGATATCCGGTTTGGCTATACTGCATACATGTATAGAATCTATAGATCTACCTGTTACATACCAAGTCCTTTTGAAGTCACAAATTGAATGGAAACGTGAACTGACAGTGGAAGAACTCTGACAGTAATGAGGCAGCAAATAACACGCATCAGCCGATTAATACTTACAATGTATGCAACATATCCAATCTCAACTTCATGTCATATCATTATTTTACTAATATGTAGCCTTGAAACATATGATGCACAAATAATAACTGAAGCTTCCTAGAAAACGTTACGATGTTTACACATGTAGCGCCTTGATACTATGATTGACAAGGCTTGATCACATGACCGGTTGCTAAGGTGGTTGTTATGTAGACAATTTTCTTTTCGCATCAATGCTGAAGACTGACAGTACGACTTCTCGTCACCAAAATTATATTTAAATCTTTTTTTGTAAGAATGGATATGATGATAAGTGTAATTACTAACCCGGAGAGGAAAAAGAGAATGCCACCACCGGCAAGGATGAACTTCTTTCTACAGAAGCTATTTTCTATCAACTAGTTATTATTACGGAAATAAAAACAACTACTCTAATGAATGTACTTTTTTCCAAAACAATTTTAAAAGTTATTACATTACACTCATTGGCGTTCTACTTTTAATGGTATCATTAAGGTAGTGTTATTTCCAATAGGAATTAAGGGAACGCGGGTGGCCCAGTGGTTACAACATATAATAATAATAATAATAATAATAATAATAATAATAATAATGATAATAATATGCCGTTATTTGCTATACAAAGTTGCGTCCCTTGGTCGCGCAAGGACCTGCTGATTGAGCGTTTTTACAGATCAGGCGACCCTAAATTCAACAAATTTGGAGCACAGGACAGCACAGCCTCGACACTGTGCAGAGGCCCGAGAGAATGTTAGTTAGTTATAAAATTTATTTGTAATTGTGTTCTTGTATTAATTACAACCCCCTAGTCCACTGAATACCATAGAATTTTCACTCGGGGTGTCATTGCTCACCCCTGAATCCCGAATGTAAATAGTAAATAAAGTTTTATCTTTAACTGTGTTCTTGTTTGATTATGATAAAGTGCATGTGCCTGCCATTCATCGTCTACTTCGGGTGCAGGAAAAAATGGCCCCATGCAAAAATGGCATCAGAAAATTTGGAGAAAATGGCCCCAATTAAAATTAAAATGACTGTTCATTACAACAATAACCCATCATTCCCAGTGACACCCTCGAGTAGATTTAAGACCATCAAGACGAACAGACACGTGATATTGTGCTGGACGATGTGGCACAAATATCAGTTCAGAATAACCTATGAATACATTGCGAAATGTCCAAATAATAAATATACTAAGTTACTAAAGAATAGTGTTAGTTTTGTTTCTCCAAAATTAGTGTCAATTTTCACCACAATTTTGACCATTTTCTCTATAACCCTTCAACTTCACTACTTGTACGTCCACTTGCAAATTAACTAAATGAGAATAGTTGTCGGCTAATACAATATAAATATTAGACTCGCACTCGAAATGTTTCGTGCTGTTAGTGGATGAAATACAAGACTTAGAAACAGTACCAACTTAATTTTATATATGTTACATAAAACATGTTAAGCGTAAAAATTAATGGAAATGGTTAATGTCTCATAAGAAAATGTATTGTTGTAACGCAGTTAATGTTAGCACAAATCCAATATGGCGCCGCAGAAGGGCACTCTGCTGTCAACAACAGATTTTCCGCTGTATGCGGTACGGTCACTTGGAGATCGACACTTTCTTGTAGCAGGCGGGGGCGGTCAGGCTAAAACAGGCGTTCCCAATGCTGTTGTGAGTTCATGATTTATTCTGTATGAGTGTTCTACAGAAAATACTGACGCGTCATGTTCCACGTTGACAGACGACACTCGCGACTACTTGACTGACTGCTGACGACAGTCCTAATTCCAAGCTCTGGTTTGGGCAGGCTGCTGAAATTGTAGTGCTGTGTTGTTAATGCAGCGTATCTGCGGCGATGGAAACGTCTCTCAAAACGAAAAACAAATTGACGATAAATGCTAAAATGCCAATTAAACATGAACTTCATGTTTAATTGGCAGATGAGGATTAGTGTGCAAATAGAAATAAAATATTAAACCTACTTCCCTCATTTATACAATGAACTACAACAAGGGTATGGATATTTTGCAACTGAGTAATTAACAATAGCTTAAAATGTGTGCTTGTTCAAAGTTGTTAGTTAAGAAGATAATCATAATCAAAAAGACTTGTGGGATATAAAGTATTCTTCAGAAGCATTCTAGTTTTACATCGTTGATTCAGTGATTGGTTACAAATACATAATATATTTCATGTATTTATGACTATAATGTGAACATGATATTTATTTTAAACATGTTAAATGGGTTTTTTTAATATTTTAATGGAAAACAGTGCTTACTCTTTTTCTAGCAAGTCCGTATTCTTGTGCTCTATCAATATTTAAACTTGGAATATGTTCAGAATCTTGATCTTGCATTTTGTTTTCAGGAAATTTATGAGCTGAAGTTGTCTGATAACAAAATTTTGTCAGCAAGTCTGTGTCGTCATGATACTGGGATCCAGGCGGTGATGAACTGTGATACCTTTTATGATGGACGAAACCATTACCTTGCAACTGGACAGGATGATGAATGCCACACATACTCACTCAAATACAAAGTTGTTTCTCCAGAAAAGCAATCAGGTAGACTGATACCCTATGGTTTGATCCTTTATATATTAATATGTATATTTAGAAGTTAACTTTAAAAAACATTGTTGTTAAATGATACATTACCACGATTACCACTGCTGCAGTGCAGAGTATGTGCCAAAATCTTTAGTGTTTTCATTATTGAATTTGGTTCTTAGTCTCTTTGATTTGATTTTTAAAATGGTAGTAGACATCAAAGTCTTTTCCAGATTCAGACTTCAGGTAAAGTTGCAGATTAATTATCTGATTCTAGCCTTGATCAATACAGATCATGCATGGTTATTGTGAAAAAGTATCCATGAACATTGTCACTCACCATGCTAACTAGCCATAAAGAAGTACTTTTGAGTACCATCATTGAGATGTTAAGCAATGCTAGACATGATAAAGGTCAAGTCATTGAAGTGTATTATTATTCTTTTGAGCAAACTATATAACTGTTATCTCTGATTATCATTATTCTGTATGTTATGTATATCACCCATGAAAGTTGTAGAAATATGCGGAACTTGAGTCAAAAGGTCTCCACTGTTAATGTTTGTGGTCCCAATACATTATGTACTCAGTACTGCCAGTACAAAATGCTTGTTGTAAGAGGAAACTACAATGCCTTGTAAAATGTTGAATACGGTGTGTACTCAAGAGAAACAAGAATGTGCATTAAGCAATCATTTTGTCATAATATCTTTCAACAGAATTACCAAAAAAGTCTTGAAAATGAATTCTCTATGCTTGAATTATTTGCAGACTTCCATATTAAAGCTGTTATATTGCTGATTACACCAAGTACTGGTATGTCTGTTTTTATCCCTTCCACTGTAACTATGACAGGGATGTTGGGTGAGTCGATATTAAGAGTTAATAGTTAAAATTTAATTTAAGTTTGTGCATGTATTCTTACAATTTATACATCCACAGAGTCCAAGGATGCCAAGGTTCGAAAAAGAAAAGGAGAAAGTGAAAATTCCTCAAAGGAGAAATGCAACAATACCAAACATATCACTTTTGACATTGAACCAATCAAACATGTTACAACAGACTTTGCTAAAGATGGCAGTTTTCAAAAGGTGGTCCGATTTGGTGCTGACAATTCTATTCTGGCAACAGGAGGAGCTGATGGTTTTGTCAGAGTATGGCAGGTAGGTTTGGAACAGATTATCATCAATTTCTTCAGCATGTGTCAGGACACTAAATTTCACACTAAAACATCAGTAGGCCGCCAGTGTTCAATTTGCAGCAAGAAAGTTAAGCCCTTGTCATAAATCTAATGTTAATAGTTTTATATTTAGGGTGTACTGTACATGGATGCAAATACTCGGCTAAAATTCCCCCTCCTCCCCTACCTTTAATTTCAAGCACTAGGCTTCCGATCTGTAGGAATTTCCTACAAGCTATTGCCAGAGAACTAATTTGGACCCATCAAGATCCATGCAGAGAACAGGTCTTCATGCTTGCCGTAAGGCGACTCTGCTTGCCGTAAGCATGATAAGAGGCGACTAACAGTGTTGAATTCGCCAGACTGGTGACCGTTACTTTGATAGTGGCCTAACCATTGCTAACTACTCTCGTTGGATACAAGATTTATTGACAGAGGCGTACACATGTCTGACATTGACGATGCATGAATGTCAACAGATAAATATATTCAAACATCAGGGGCAGTTAATTCTGATCATCATTTCTGGTTAAGATATTAGATTAGGTAAAGCATATAATAGTGCAAATAAAACGTCCATAAAATATCAATACACAGTAACTTAAGTTTACATTCTGACAAATGGGATCGGTGGTCTGGCTCGCTGACTTGGTTGATGCATGTCATCCTATCCCAATTTGTGGATCAATGCTCATGTTTTCAATCACTGGATTTTCTGGTCCAGACCGGATTATTTACAGACCGCTGTCATATAGCTGGAATATTGCTGAGTGTGGTGTTAAACAACAAACAAACAAACATTTTTGTTGTTGTTTTAGACATAGTAGTACTTGTGTGCAATCTATGTTTATGTCAATGTATCAGTCTCAGTCAATCCTATGCATATTTTAGATGAACAAATCTTGTGGTTCCATCCAATCTTTATTTATATTAGAACCTTATTAGTGCTTTTTCCCAGATACATCAATTCAGTTATATTATACCTATACATCTTTATTGCACTGCAGTTTCACCTAAAAATTATCATTGTCATCATGTTGTAGTATCCAGACATGAAAAAGATCTATGAAGTGAAAGCTCATAACAGTGACATCGATGACCTTGATGTCAGTCCATGTGGACAAAATGTAAGTATATCTCTGCATCGTGTAGTCACGTCAGAATCAGGTCTAACATCTACAGTTATGAAGAGATCCAACTTGTAATCATCATTCCTTATCATTGCATTATCATATAGCTGAAATATTGCCTGTGTGACATAACAATATTATCTCACATATCTAATGTTATGGTGGCAGAGTGTATATATATTGGCAGCCAAATCCTGTCACTGTTTGAACCAAAATGTACTCTTTGGTATGTCAAATACCCTGTATTTAGTCATGTTGAAATGATACATCGGTTCACCAGTGCATCGTAAGTTTTCATGCAACAATGCGATACATGATACGTTTTCTTCTGTATTGATAAAACACGATACACTTGCTAAAATATATCACGGCTACTCGTTTAATGACCCTCAGCAATTTTGTCAGTCAAATATCACAAAATGTGTTGTAATTCGCTTTCCAAGTTAACTACTAAAAATAGCAGCTACAAACATGTGTCTACAGCCAGCTTTTCCTTTAGATCATACTCCGAAATATTTATAGTCAAATTTGAGGTAAATATGTGTGTTTGGATAAGTATCATATCATTACCTATGTATCATGATACATGATAGCGCTCGGCATTAAGGGGCTAAAACAAATACTGGTTGGCTCAGAGTCAGGAAACTGTGTCTGAGTGGGGTATTCATGTTAAACTGCAGCATGGTATCTCAGTGGGCTAGCACTATTAAATGAACGCCATTATTTGTTTGACTCAATGAGTATATTCCAGGACATGCAGGTTACAATAGATCCCGTGAATATAAGGGATGATAGATCCTTTCATTATGTACATTTTTATCTGTTTGCAGATAGTGACCGTATCCAGGGACAACACAGGTTCTGTATGGAAAGCCAAAGAAGGAAAGAAAGTGTCTGATTTGGTGTTTAAGAAAAGACCGTCAGAACAGTATAGGTTTAGATGTTGTAGGTGAGGTTTTTCATACGACAGTCTTCTGTCTATGTTGTTGATCAGAGAATGTAGTGTTTGGTATCAAATGTCATTTAGAGATGCCGTACAATTTTTCCCTGCACTGATCTTGAAATGAAAGTTTTGAATGAACGCATGTCACATTGATCATTGATAATTGGAACCATATTGAAAATGTTGAACATACATGTATATAAAACAATAAATATCTGTTTTCATATGTTTAGGATGAAAAACATGTCTTAGAGGGTATATTGTTTTCACAGTTTTCACTGACTGCCCTCCAAACCATTTTTCAGACCCATTATTTCTTTCATTTTTCTCCACTTTTTTAGCTTAGACAAACTGAACATTGAGAAATGTTCTTTATATGTCACAGCAGTTCAGCAATGAAGTGTGCATGTGCAACTTGTTTGCAACTCAAAATGAGATTTTGCAAATTCTCCTTTTAAGATATGGGAATATTGAAGGCAAAAAAGGCAAATTCAACTTGTACACTCTGAGCATACCAAGCAAACGATCTTCCAAACCCTCACCATGCTACATGACATTGTGGGACCCCAGCACCTTTAAACCCAAGAAACATGCCAGCACAGGAACCGAGGTTTTATCATCATTAGCAGTCAGGTAATGGTTGGATGCATGAAAATTGAAGGGAAATGGAAATTGCTTTCAATGATAAAGATTGTCAGATGAAAAATATTGTTTTCTGAGCTGTTTTACTGCAGTTAAGTCTATGCAAAAAACATTTTAGACAACTAATAGTTGTTGCCCTTATAAACTGTACTTAACGCCTTAAAGGGGCACTGATCTAACGCAATTCCCCGGGACTGGTTGTTGCCTTTGTTATTGTTTTTTCCCAGTGAGTACCCGGATGTATAGCAGAAATCTAGACTTGTTCGCGACCTCTGCTGCGCTATTCGTAAGCGCATTAATCAATGGGTAGTAATAAGGGCGTATGGTCACATTGATCAACAAAATTAAATACAGTTTTCGAGATAATAAGGAAATGTAGGTATCTTTGTGGGTAGCATCGGTAATGGTGACGAAGTTTTGATAAGTCACTTGCTTGGTAATTTTGCGATTTTTGTTTACACTATTTCGACTTGCAACACAAAGTAAATATTTCACCTGAGCATTGCTTTTTTATAGTGTGTATATTTTTTTACTGTCAAAATGTGTAACAAATTTATTAAACGTCTAAATATTCAGTTATTTTACAAAGTGACTGAAAAACATTTCCATCTGTATTATTATGATAACGAATTCCAAACATTTTGATGTTTAATGTCATCACCAAGAGACTGAAAATGTTACGTTGAAAAGTACATGTCTATGTTGTTTGGCTTCTCATCCTACATAATAATCTGTTGTGGTGTTTTTAGGACCGTTGGATCGTCTTAATCAATTTTAGTCAATCTGGACAGATTTTTCAGTCAAAATGCCTGAAATATTTACACATTTTATAAATTGCCTGAGAGAATCAGATTTTACAAATTGACGGTAATATATACACGCTTACAAAGGATACTTGTGAAAACAACGTCTATCGCGCATTGAAGAATTTCCCAACCAAGATGTAGAGGAACAAGAACTAATCGGTTCAAATGAAGGAAAACAAAATGCAAATACCATAATTACAACCTACCAAATTTATGTGTATAAATTTTAGGCAGCTTCCTTGTTCGAGGAATGTATCCGTGAATATCCATGCACACAAAGGAACAATATCCTACTCGTCTGCAGCTGTACAAAGAAACTTATTCGATGTCACGTGTCTCTGTAACAATCAAATATTTTAAAAGATATATATCGTTTCGTGTTCGTTTCTCAACTGATCACTTAGATTGTTTCAGGTGTTTCACATAGGTGTCAAGTCTCAAGGGTCGGCTGAGAAAGCCCACGTGACAACTATTTTCATAACGTCCACGGTTCCTAAAAAATCCATTGAGTGATAGATAACAATGAGCAATCAATCAACGTATTATCAGTTAACCCTTTGAACAAAGTATGTTGTTTTTACATCGGCACTTCACGCCATGATGTGAGTGTATTCCCTTTGTTTTAGTAAACCTAGACATGTAAACACTCACTTTTGACATATCCACTGTGCAAGAAAACAGTGATTAATCAATCAACGTATTTTCTGTTAATCCTTTGATGGCTAGGAACGATCCGTTGATTTACAAAAAAAAGAAGTAAATCAACTGATCATTCATCTCTTGCTGGGATGCCACGTGCATATTACATAACACACATTTCATCTCACTTCAAACCTGGATTTAGATTGAATAATTACCCCAGACACAATAAATGCCAAATGGGAACCTTTGTCAGGTAATCTAAGTGGTGCTGCCACTAATTGTACCTGTAATAAATTCATTAACTGAGCATCAAGTGAATGACGACAAATACACAAGTGTAGGGTTATACGAGAAAACGTGGATGGTCTCTGATGACAACAAGGGAGTAGTAATCGTATTATCGACGCAATCGGAAATCCGAAAATGCTTTCACTGCAAGGATACTTTTGTTAGTATTAAACTATAACCATCTCGGGTATTTCCAAATGACGACATCCGATGAGCTCCGTCGTTCTTTTTGTCTGTTTGTTTAGGCTGGAGAAATTAATTAACATGCGCCCTTTGTCGAAATTTTTATAGATCACAGTTAACCAATCAGTGTTTATGCAAAAATGCGTAAAACAAATATTGCCTCCAGCCTCCAAGTTTATTTAGCTGTCCTTGCAGACGGTAGCCCAGTCTCTGGTCACGCTCAGTTGCGTTGCGTATCATCCGGGTACTCACGGGGGAAAAAACAATAACAAAGGCAACAACCAGTCCGGGGAAATGCGTTAGATCAGTGCCCCTTTAAGCATAAAATTAAGTCTATGCCAAAAGCATTTTAGACCACTGACCCCAAAAATTGCTCCTTGCATCATTTTCAGTAGAATTTTGTGTTCTTTTATGGACTATTGGCTGAGCTTACTAGACACAATCTTTCTGGACTCAAGCTTTGAACTAGTGGCTAAAGTCACATACTGCTGCATACATAGTGACATAGATGTCTGTGCAGAGTTACGTCCCTTATACATGCCCACACCATATGATCATAGATTCCAATCCCACATTCTCTGTGATTTCCAGCACAATACCCATGTTTTTGTGGGTTTCACTAAAGTTGAAAATGTCTAAGACCTGCATCCCTTTGGGCTTTCCTCCTACATCAAGTAACACAGTGCTGTAACTGAAATAATGTTCACAGCAGTGTAAAACTCGCTCACTACTCCTTGTCGAAATACATGTGGTCATGCTTGGACCCCAGTTTCAAGTGATGGGTTCTCAGTCATTTTGAACATAGAAAATAAACCAAACCCAAAATAAGCTGTTATTAGCATCAATATGACATGTAAACTCTTTAAGATAATGTATTATGTTACCATGATACTCAACATCTCAACATGCCCATCATTTCAATGTAACCTAGATTGTTTATCTGGAGAGAGACCCAAAACCTTGCCCATGTTCCTGGAGGGATGGTAAATTGACGTCCTTTACACACAGACAGATGCAATATCTTTGATGATGCAAATATGCAAACATTAAAGTTTATGACTAAAAACAGCAACGATTTCTTTTTTTAAAACAGCAACGATTTTGCTTATGAATTTTGTTTTCCTGTTCCCAGAATCCATACAGAAGCAATCTGTTTTGTTATCTTGCTCCTGAAAGTCCTATGCTTTTCGAGAATGTGGAGCTTTTATTCACCTAACCCACATTATGACCAGTAAGAGTATATGAGAGAGGAATTGTGAATGAAGAATCCAGGTTTATTATACACATTCCTCTTTGAAGCCACATGTCACTCCTATCTACCAGTTACATATTGATTAAGAGTTTCTGCCTCTCTTTCAGTGATGATGGAATCTACCTTGGTGTTGGAACAATATCTGGAAGTGTGTCTGTTTATGTATCTTTCAGTTTACAGGTGAGTAATCAGTATCTGCTTGCATTGGAACTGTGGCCAACTTTTTCCAGCTGATTAGTCATATATCAGCCCGGTGTTGATCACATTACTTGCAATAGATTGTCTGTTTTTCTCTGTATATTTTTAGAAACACTATTTGGAAGACTTTTATTTAAATGTTAGGAATCTTTTTTCATAAATCATGTAAACGAACATACTTGATTGGTTGAATGTATATGATGAATATGTTTTGTGTGTAGTTATTTACAGATCAAAGAAGTGATTGACCATTTTGTATAAATATGAAGGGAGATAACTCTGTCAGTGTGGCACTGACAGCCTATGATCTGACAACATTGTCAGTGAGCTGTAGAAAATATAGTGTCAGTGTAAATACATGCATGACTGGTTGCTGTTTCAGAGGTTGTACCATGTGAAGGAGGCTCACAGCATATTTGTAACAGGGGTGGAGTTCATGCCCAGCTCTGAAGGGGCCCGTGCTGTGACAGGGGGCCAAGATTTCACACTGCTCAGCATTTCCGCAGATAACACTATCAAGATACACCAAGTTGCCCCAAGAGGTACTACTTCCCAGTTATTTAAATACACTGTCAAAAGATGTGAAATTTTGAGTCTTAGCTTGTCAGATTTCAAATTCATCTTCCATCTTTGCTAAAAAAATTTTTACATACTTCTAAGTACTTTTTTTAGAGATATGGTGCATTTGTATATAAATCGTGGGATTGTAAGAGACTGTGTATTGCAGGTATAGCTTATATTGCATTGGAGCTTGGTAGACCTGATTACAGGTCCAGGAAAAGGATGTTACCACGCAGTACTCAAATTCTTCATAATCAAAGACAGTGTGTTTGATCAGTGTGGTTTGGTAAATATGACTACAGTAGTGTCCATCTTTTTCTCTCCAATTGTTCCAGTATGCATACTAAGAGGGGATATTTTGTATTATTAATCATGTCCAGGTCTCGATTTAAGAACTTGATTTAACTTGCACCAGGTGCATGTTGACATGAAAACCAAGTTGCACCAAACAAAACCAGGTTGCACCCCGGGTCCCATTCCATAAATTGATCATAGCGCCACGACTGTTGTACGCCTATGTTAAAGTATTGGAGTTACGATCACCTTAGCGCTACGTCCGCTTTGTGGAACGGGACCTTGGTCCCATACATTTATCAAAGTTGAAACACGGTCCGCTCTGCTGCAAGTGTCACATAAATTAATGACACATGGAGCATGTGCACACAATGTGTGAGTACCCACAATTTGATGACATCACAAGAAAAGTATGACAAAATACACATAACACAGGGGCTAGTGATGTAGTATGGTATATAAACTTTGAAGGTTTTGAGTGTGTTGAAAGATCTATTTTGTGTGGACAAGTAATGGTTTGACACAAATTTGAATTTGAACTTGTTGCATGTACATACTAGGTTGCATTTTTCAATAAAAGGTAGCACTTGTACTCTCTCTTTTCGTTATATAAGTTTGTGGATTTTTACATATTTGCTGGAACATGTTTTCTACACTGTTCTATTAAAATGACATACATGGCAGCTAACTATTGCAATGAAACATCTTTACATTCTTTATCATGTTTATAAGCATCCCGTTACATACCTTCTTAAAAGTTACTATTTTGATCTATACAGCCTTGTCATCAACATTTCCATAATAATACATGAGTTGTAACTTCTCCGTGGTCTAGAGGTAGAGTGTCTGCCCTATGAGTGGAAGGTCCGGGGTCATACCAGAAGACATTAAAAGATGGTACTTGTTGTTATCCTGGCTGGTGCTAGGCATTAAGGGGTTAAAACAAACACTGGTTGGCTTGGAGTCAGTATACTGTGTCTGAGTGGGGTATTCATGTTAAACTTCTGCCTGGTATCTCAGTGTGCTAGCACTATAAATCGGCATCAGTCTGAACGAGTGCGCACGAGCGCGCACACAAACACATGCACATGCACATGCACATGCACACACACACACACACGACCTAATGGTTAAAGTGCAGATGTATCGTGCCAAAGAGCTTGGCTTGATTCCCTGCTTAAACACAATGTCTCTAGTGCATTTCCTGGTGTCTCCCACTGTGATATAAGCCTTTAATAATACCAGTAGCTGTGTAATACAATCCCTACTCACCCACACACTTCATGTATGAACACAGATGGTTGGTTGATAGCATGTCAACATACTAAAATGTGTGGATTGTTGCTCAATCATTGGATTGTCTGGTCCAGACTAGGTCCTTTACAGGTCATCATGTCATGAGAAATCCTTTATGCCCTGAATGTATTGTATCTGTTTCAGGCTCCTACAGTGCAGCCTGGCTCATTGCTGGAACTCTTGCCATCATCTATGTCATCTTCTGGCTCATGTCCTCTTTTGGCATTTGATCTGCTCCATTCCCACCTGCTGTGAAGGAGGGCTTGTTTGACTTCATTCTGGCTGTGAAACGTGTAAATGGGGAAATATCCAACCGACTATCAACCTTCATGGCAACCTACAGAAAGAATTGGCAATATACCTCAGTTGATGGTCTTTTCTCACAATCTATTTTTATGACTGATGTGTACCATGGAAAGGAAATTAAAACAGTTACCACATATGCTAAAGGCAACAAATGAATCCGGAGGTCACATCCAGTGACTTTGTTGCTTGTGTGTTATTGTATCCTGGTGCATTGCTCATAATATCAGTCCCTGGTTTCTCTGGTCCAGATGTGATCATTTACCAGCCAACATAGCTGAAAAATTGCTAAGTAAACAAACTATCTCCTGATCTGATTCAATTATGGTTTCTGAGACGCATAAAGATCCAGGTCAGTATAGGTCTTCAGCAACCAATGCATGCTGAAAGAGGCAACTATGCTTGTTGTAAGAGGCGACTAATGGAAGTGGGTGGTCAGGTCAGCTGACTTGGTTGATGAATGTCATCGTATCCCAATTGTGTGGATCGATGCTCATGTTTTCAAACACTGGATTGTCTGGTCCAGACTCTTATTTACAGACCACCGTCATATAGCTGGAATATTGCTGAGGGCGTCATTAAACAACAAAAAAACAAAACAAAATAAACATGGTTTCTGATGAATTTTTGTTAACATTATTCTGTGTTGACGCCAAACCTCTTTTATGAAAATATTATTTTGGTCAAGATTTGATTGAGGGTCAAATATAATAAGGTTAAATATAGAACGTAAGTCTTATGATATTTTTTTTTTAAATGCCTAAGGTAACCGGGTAATTGTTATGTTTTCTAGAAAAAAGTCGCAGTGTTGTAACTAACCATGCTGACACTGACACTTTCTTCTGAACACAACACTGCAAATTTATTCCATTTACAGTAAACCTTGATACCAGTGGTAGTAGTCATACCAAAGAATGGTCATTTATTTAAGTAGTTACTTAAATGACATCATTATCTAAGCTCCTGTGAAAGGATATCATGAGGAACAATATTGATACACTCAAGTGATGGAATGATACATCTCTATGCATGTTGACTCAGGGTTAGAACTAAACTTAAAAGCTTTACTAGCCCGGGTAAAGACCAAATGCCTTTGTATTAAGTTATTAAACAATGTGGCAATGGGGAAATTTGTACTCGCCCGCAGGAATTTGTACTAGCCCCAGGCTAGTGTTAAGTTCTTACCCTGTGACTGATACAAAGTTCTAAGTGAGCAGTTAATATGCCGGATGTAGTATGTTTAAACATGATGCAGAGCTTCTCATTTGATGTCTATTTTTGCTAAAGTAATTAATGTTCTTGCTTACTGCCAACCAAAAGTTTTTTTAAATATAAATTTCAAAATCAGAATTTTTCCATCAAAACATGTAAGTGAATCATACTCTGCACATTAACTGTTAATAGATGTGTTGTGATCAGGCATGAATGATGGGACTACATATTTAGTGCATTTCATCAAGTAAGGTTAAAGAAAATAATAGTCTTGGTTCTCAGGCACTACCTGCATCATCAGAAAGTCTGCCGCAAGTTTCGTTTTTATTTCCATTTAAAATTTAAAAACAAAATTTTAATACTAAAAAACAATGCGATCCAATATATCGCGCAGTTGCACTGCTTTACTGTGCATATCGTGTTATGGTAATGGCAGCAGCAGGAGTTTGTATGCTTGTTTATGTAGGGTGGCCCTTTCCCAGGTTGATGGTGCACAATGTTTGGTTACATACTAGTTTGAACAAGCAAAAAATCAAAACAAAAGCCACCACCTGCCCGCAATATATTATCAAAAGTCATTGCCTGAGAACCAATTCTTTTAGTTTTAAAAGTCTAAAGAAGGTGATTTGTTTCATCTGTTCTTGGGGGGCATGGATGGCCCAGTCATCTAAGGTGCCGCAATTCACGGTGCAGAGTTGTGTCCCTCAGACATGCCAGAAATCTATGATTTTAGGTTCAAATCCAGCTAGCCATTTTTATGTTTCTAGATTTGTCAGAACCATGCACAATCTCATGGGTTTCACCAAAGTTGTAAATGTTGGCAACCTGCATCTCTTCAGGCTTTCCTCCACATTATGCTGACGTGCCGTGATATAACTGGAATACTTTAAAAAAAGTGGCGTTAAACCCAACTCACTCACTTGTAATATGTTCTTGGGGATTTTTTAATGATTTAAGGAGGGATGCTTGTTTGTGAAGTGGGTGGGTAGTGATGAAAATCTAATGATGAATATATACTACTCAAAAGAAGTTAAGGATCACCTGATTCTTTCATATTACAATAGTTAATCTCTCATGCCATGACAGATTAACATTACCAATATGAAAGAATCGGGTGATCCTTAACTTCTTTTGAGTAGTATATTATGGCATTATTTACTATAATTGATTTTGTTGTATTTTAACCTTAGTTTTATGAATTAAAAGTCAACCCTGATAACATTACATGTTTTTGTTTGTTTCCTGACTCTTGGTTTATTGACAGAGTAAATCCATAAAGCAAGTATTGAACTCATCTCATGTTAGTGTTAGAAGTACTGGTATGTTTTACTTGTGCTTTCATTGTTTCATTAGCGTGTGTTATTTCTCCACGTACAAGCTGATGTTCCTTTCTTAGACTGTTATTTTCTCCATTATGTGTTGTTGTAGCTGTAGTGTATTTACTGAAGATTGCTGTTGATATTTTATTTGTTATCATTTGGACAATCTAGAAACAGTTAGTATGTTTAATGGCTTGAGGAATCGTGTTCATATCTCTGTACCAAGAACATTTGCTTGAATCTTTGTCAGAAGCGTTCATTGTCCCTGAGTTTCTCCAGTGTGGTGATTGTCAAGGACTTGCAACACTTTTGGCTTTCCACATGATGTAACGGATATACTGTTCAAAGCAGCATTGAGCCCTACTCCCTCAGTCAGTCACTCACTCACTCACTCACTCACTTACTCACTCACTCACAAGAAAACAACATGATATCCCTTGATTTTTTTGTGGTAAATATTGTGAGTTTATTGATGTCAGCAGAATCCAGCTCATGTTCAGGAACTACCTTTGGATATTATGTATGATATTAATATCACCGAATAATACATGATCTCATCAACAGTTTCATTAATGTCTTCTAAGTTCGTAGAAGTTTAATGCCTTTTTGGAACCTTGTTTGGCTAGTTGGGTAATTTTGTAACTAGATGTGGTAAATTGTAGCGTATCTATCATCCTTCTCTTTTTTCGAAAAGAGGTTGCATTTTTTATAAAGAATTAACAAATTTGAAGTCAAGTAGCTTTGAGAAAGCCTGAAACTATCACATGTGAATAGACACAAGGAAGTGCCTTGATCACAACATTTCTTGCTATGAAAGCGTCATAATATTGGTGTATTCGAGGGCGTTTGTATGAGGACTCTATTTTCTGATCTTGAAAACATAATTGATTAAATGAATTGATCTCTGATTTAGAATTAGGTAGATGTGTATATGCATCTAAGTAAGAGCTATGCTCTGATGACGAAATGGACATAGATGAGGCTGTGAAATTACCCTTAGCAGTTTTGTTGATGCTATTCTGTCATATCACTATCGAACTTAAGAATTGGTATTATACTTTTATGATTTCATGATGTGAGTCAAGGATAAAAAATGTCCTCTTGTCAGTAGTTACAGGAAAGAAAAGGAATGTTTTAAACATATGTATTAGTTGGTTTTTTTCATTAATTATCAATATACATTAATGCAATTTAACCTAAGGTGAACATAACCAAATTATGGTAGCTAAGTCCACTTACCCAATGCAAAAGATATTCATAAAACTATTTTTTTTAAATGTAACATTTTATACTTCCTTGATAATAGACTTGAACTGATTAACATTTTCGAGGAAAGGTAATAAATACATTGGTTAGATATGTATAAGCTTATTATTGTGATAAAATGTACTTCATGTATAGAGGTGTTGCTCAAGTCAATGGAGTTAGCAGATGAAATACAGCTGTAAAGTTCTTGTATTATAGTTAATGTGAAATAAGTATGTATAAAAATTGTGCAATATATCAATTTGAACTGCACACTGGATGTGTTATTTGAGAATACATTTTGTATTGATAGTTGATCAAGACTTCAATTGCTTCCTGAAAGTGGTTTTTGGTATATTATGTATTTAATACTTAACTACAGCTTCCATTTAATGTAAGAATTAGTACATAGTTTGTATATTTTGAGGTTGAAGTGTATTGAGCTTCGTGTGAGAATGCCAAAGATGATGTAGCAATGTTGATGGTATTTTATGTGTGTGTATGTTACCTGTGAGTATGAGTTAATGTGAAATGGATTGAAAATGATATACTAACAAATAACAGCATGCTCATTATATCTTAAAGGATGGTACATTAGCTATTTGTTTTTGAGAAGGTGTGAATGGAACAGTATGCCTTTTGTATGTGATAAAGTGTTTGTGAAAAAAAGATTCGCTTGTATTTGTGTGAATGTTGAGATGAGCATTATGTTGTCTTGAAACTGCCGGAGAGAAAGACCATGTGTGAGCTTTGAACTTTGTATTTATGAATACAGAAAACCATGTTTATTATTCAAGAATGAGTGAGTGAGTGAGTGATGATGATGATGATGATGATGATTATGTATATTGCTCATCATTTCAGGATTGATAATCACAGCATGTATGTGTTAGACAAAATGCTATTTTACATTGTTTTGCATGTGTTACTGTGTCAAAATGCAAGGGAGAATGACAACAATTTCATTGTTTGAATGCTTCTGAAGAATATGTAATCAAACATACAGTTATCCATTTCTGTTCTGTTTTGTACATGTATATGGGTTAATGTAATGGTTAATATCTGATTGTTGTTGGACAAAGGTGTGGTTTCGGAATATTTTGTTTTGTTACATCAAATTTCTTGCATTAATACTTATTAACAGTATTCATTTTACTTTAGTAATGCTATTAAACAGAATGTTAACAGAACATGAAGTGTCAGATAGTGGTTTAATGTCCTTCAGCAGCTTCTTTATGACTTTTTATCTTACTCCAATGTTTTATTTTTAACATACCAGAGACAAAAGTTCAAATTGAGCTATGCCATGTTTTGGGGTTTTTTTTGTAAACTTGGATATCTGCTCTGAACCATTAGGATCCATGATGCGAAAGCTTCGTTTGATGATCATGTATTCACAATGTTTCGATTGGATTTTCTAAGAGGCCACCAATGCCAACATGTTAATACTAATTTTTCCCATTGTAACGTAATCATGAATCAGTGTGAAATTTAAATGGGTTTCTTCTGAGTGTGAGTACATATTTTGATTTCTGGTCCTGCTATTGCTTTTGCTCTCCATATGTGCCAGTCATGTCAATATATATTTAGTTATGTGGAATTTTAGAGGACGCAATGTGTTTGATGTAAGCTGCAGGGTATAAACATGTCTGAAGTTCGTTCATCTGGTTTTACCACCAAAACAAATTCTTTACTGCTAAGCTATGATAGATTGTATTGTTTCAGTTGTGAACTCTTTCCACAACTTACTCATTATGTATACTTTCAAGATGTATGACTCCAATTAGGTGAATTGATGAGAGAGTTTTGTAGGATACAATAGAGAACCAAGAAGTCATCTCAACTTCAGAGTGTGCTGGTATGTCCCAGTGTGCTGGTATGTCCCAGTGTGCTTAGCGTACAGAGATTACAATATGAACGTTAATGACATGTAAAAGAGCATGGCTATATTTTGATTGTTTTCATTTATTCCTTCAAGCATTTATTGACCTGTAACCCAATTGGTTTGTTCGTGTCCAGCTGTTATTACATAATATGTAAGTTATCTACATTACTGGTTAAATTATCATATTTAACTATTTCCTTTTTGTAATAAAATGTAATACCAACATTACTATGGATTTGGTGATGGTTTTTTTCTAGTACACATGTAGCTCTTGGTTGTTTTGAGCATTGCACCAACATAATGACAGATAACTTCAGCCATTGATGTGTCAGTGATGGCTGCTCCCACTATGGTATTATGCTTAATTGCTAGAATTTGGGTCATTCTCATTTTCAGTAATGAATATTAATGATGTGTTATTATTAGAATGTGGTATAGATAATTTCTCATTTTCAGTAATGTGTCGTTAGAATGTGGGATGAATGATTTCTCATTTTCACTGATGACGTGTCATTGTTAGAATGTCGGATATTTGGTGAGCAGAGTTTTATCACTTGGGCACGTGAAAAACCTAAACCTGTGATCGTGAGTTCGGTTCGTCCCAATTATTTCGGTTTGTAAGGTCCGTATCGTACTCAGGGTTTCACCAGAGTGGTAAAGGTCTAAGACCTGTATCACTTTGGGCTTTCCTCCCACAAATACGCCGACAGGCCATGATGTAACTGAAATACTTTTAAAAGCAGCCACGTCACGCGGAAAATCCGGGTTCGATTCCCCACATGGGTACAATGTGTGAAGCCTATTTGTAGTGTCCCCATGCCATGGTATTGCTGTAATATTGCTAATAGCGGCGTAAACCATACTCACTTACTCACTTTAAAGAAGCCAATTCATTCATTAGAATGTGGGATGCTTGCTCTCACTGTCAGCTACGATTGTTTCAACCAGTTTTATGGTGTCTTTTAATGGCATGGTTCAAAATTACTGCTGGCTTAGACACGAAACTCATTCTCAGAGAGCACTGTATACAGCTAATTTAGTCTCTAATTTAATGTAACACTGGTATGTCACTTTACATACAGTTTGTTATATCTACTGACAAAATAGATGTAGCAATTATAATTTATGTGTGCTGACCTTTCCGACTACCAAAGAAAAACTAGGAGGATAATGCAATGATTATTGTCTGGCTTAGATTTTCTTAATTCTTTTAACGTGTGTCAAGAGAACTGTTGTCTAAAAGGGATCCGTTTATTCTAATTTGAACTGTCATTTTCCTGTTGGGAAAAGTTTGTATTGGTCGTAATTGTTATACACTGAAGACATGCTGTGTCATATGTCCTTACATATCAGAAAAGCAGGTCCTTCTTATGAAATTAGCTGCTGGGGTGTTTCGAACTCTGCAGACGCAAGCTAAAAATTGTTTTGTAAGTAGTAGCTTGTACGTATGAATCGTCTATCTAAACTCAAGTCAATGTTTATTCCGTTCAATTGTCCTATACATTGAACTTGATTATAACACGTATAAACATGCACCTATTGTCTCAAGGCAAGCAGCTGTTCTAACTCCCGATGGTTCAAATAAGGGTTTGCAAAGTTTCTTCAGGATTAAAGGCTTCATCATACTAAAGCCTCCGTGAGAAACTGTTCACAGGCAATGACTTATTCTTCTCTGGTGTTGACTTTTATGGTTGCACAAAGTGCATGTTTATGTCCAGTTCACGGTCATTTGTAATGAGGGGGCACGGGTGGCCCAGTCGTCTAAGGCAACGCGATTCGCTGTGCAGAGTTGCGTCCCTTGGGCACGCCAGAAACCTATGATTGTGGGTTCGAATCCCGGTTCGCCCCGATTATGTTTCTAGGTTTGTCAGCACCATACCCGTGCTCATGGGTTTCACCGAAGTGGTTAACGTCTGAGGCCCGCATCACTTCGGGCTTTCCTACCACATTAAGCTGACACGCCATGATATAACTGGAATAATGTTAAAAGCGGCGTTAAACCCAACTCACTCACTCACTCACTCATTTGAATAAGGCAATTCCATAGTCTGACAAGAATTTATTCATCTTTCAATGCACTATTACAGCAATAGGTCATGCTCTCATTAAATTCCATGCATAAAAAATAACTTAATACTTACACTATATACAAGAATTTCTATTATACATTTGAATAATCGTCCCACATGATTGATATTGCGCACACTACAGTAAGTTAGTTCTCTTTATGTCATCAATCATTACATAATTATGCTGATTGATTCACATCAGCAGATCTCGTGCAGTAATATTTCTTTTTAAGGAATTAAATACTGCGGAGTATGAATAACGCAGCTCGATAGTCACCTCAGAAGAGTAAGTGAATGTCGTGTGACCCACACATAGCTCTATTCAAGTTATTATATTACGCCGGATCGCTATATTGTTGAAATATTGACGATGCCATGTCATATTGTACCTAACTATATGACGCAGGCCAGAGACTGGACAAGACGGTCCAGCATTTGATAGTTTGAGAAACGACTGATGCCGTCGGGTACGACATCTTTTAACATCCAAATCTTAGTAACAGCTATCACTATCTATGGATGCATGCGGTTTTGTCGTACATTTCTTTGGTCATTATTGTTGTGTTGTATAACGAATAATCAAAGATCAATACCTACAAAATGAAAAACTGAAACTGACGTATTTCACTATGAACCCATACGATATCATAAATATCAGAAGCAACCTGATTCATACGTCAGATTATTCGGTCGAACGGTAAATGAAACATTTGTCCATTCATTAAAAAGATATGTCCCCTGCGTGGTTTACTTTACAAGTTGAATTTATAGTCCGGAGGTATTCAGTTCGACGCTGACATATTCTTGTAACGACATCTATTTCAATACATTAGCGAACGGTCTCTTTCTGTTAGAGATATTTTTTTCTTTCTTGAAGTAGTAGCGCCCGATTACCCCAGAAAGACGCCTTTATAAACTGATCGATATAAAACGTACGGTCTGCTACGTGGGTGAAGCAATTTATCTTTCGAATCAATATCTATCGATCGCAATATGTCAATTTTCTATTTCTGTGATAAGCGTTGGAACTTGAACCATACCCTCTCAGATTTGTATAAATTGAATTAAATGTAGGAAGAACATTTAGGTAGTTTTATCCTGTGTCCGTTTCTCTACTTTCCAAGCAGTGTTTCTACTTTTGTATTTGTGTTTTCCGATTATCAGCACTAGCATTGAATCTATATTTCATAAAGTTCATTTGGTATTGAAACGAAGACATTAACATTCCAATGCTCATGATTACTCTGTACAACGCTCGTTTATATAGATATACATTGGCAGGTATTTACCTCTCTTTGTGTATACATCGTTATGTTATATCACAGGTTATGCAGATCACATTTGGTTGAAATGCCATATCACAGCTACATTGAAGCCCATGTCCAATTCACCATCAATATCGAAATCCTGAGGTGAGAAATGTACAGTTCTGTTGATGCTTTTGAGGTAATTCATGCAAGCATATAGCTCCCATCTAAGTCCTCAATCCACGTGGGCCAACGTGACCCGGACTTGCTCATCGCATGTCTGTTACACATCCGCGGAACTCGGTCGTAACCACGTGTCGTCGTTCAAAGTGTCAGCTGATGAAGGCCTGCAAATATATGTTTAGGTTATTAATTACCTTTTGACAATTATAAATCTTACTCAGCGGATGTGACAAAATCACAAAAATCCGTAACACATGAAGTCCTGTCATTTGGATAGTAACTATTTGAAGGATGGTTATCAATTAAATGATTTGACAACCATATGACAAGAAATCTTTGACATCCAAATGACAAAAAATCCTTAGGACTCCCGAATTCTATAATTTGTGTTTAATAACATTATTCCATTGTTAAAAACCATAAGAACAATACACCGATACACCAATCTTGAATTATCGAGGTCTCCATGATTAAGAAGTTGTATTGAACTCCGAACTTAACATGACACATTATACGCTATATATCCATAAGGTTTCTCACCTATGGCTCCGGAATCCGAATCCATCTGAAACTAAAAGGGCAATGTACTATTGTAATAGTTGGATAGATCTGTTAGTCGACAATAAGCTTTACAGTCAGAACGTGTAGCTTCGAAAGAGACTGCTACTGTTGTCAGACAAAAATATTTTCTCTGCATTATATTTTGAACGGGTGGATATGGTGGCTGCAGCACACGAGTGGCCCAGGAATGTCAGACCCTAGTCGTGCTTGAAACTTAAACCGTGGGTAATGTTTCTACGGATTTCCCTAGCATACAATTGTTCGTGGTTTCACCAAAGTGTTCATCGTTTAAGCTGCATCAGTTGGCCCTTCCTTCCAGAAAAAGCTGGCCCGCGATGATATAACTGAAATACTGTTCAAACGGCGTTGGACCCGTGAAGATTCCGGGATAGAATAGGTCTTCAGCAACCCATGCTTGCCGTAAAAAGCGACTATGCTTGTCGTAAAAGGCGACTAACGGATCGGGTGGTCAGGCTCGCTGATTTGGTTGATGCATGTCATTGATCCCAATTATGTGGATCGATGCTCATGATATTAATCACTGGATAGTCTGGTCAGGACTCGATTATTTACAAACCGCCGTCATATAGCTGGAATATTGCTTCGTGCGGCGTTAAACAACAAACCAACCAACCAACCAACCAATCAAACGGCGTTGAATTATAATCACTCACTATTTTCTAAGTTTCATTGCTTACCTTCATCAATGCGTCCCAGTCGACTCTCCGAGTAGTTGTGATATTTCTGTGTGAAGTAAATACATTCATTAGATGGAACATCATGCCAGGCCGATTGTAAAACAAATAAAAAACTGAAAATTTGTAAAGGTGTTTCATGCTATGAAATCACGCCGAAGACCCGGGTTCGATTCCCGACATGGGTACAATGTGTGAAGCCCATTTCTGGTGACCCCCGCCGTGATATTGCTGGAATATTGCTAAAAGCGGCGTAAAACGATACTCACTCACTCATGCTATGAAAGCAATACTATACATGATTGTTATTATTTATGACAAGTTTGTTGAGTTCCATGAATGTGATAAATCGATACTAAATGAAAAAAAACGTATTCCACACAAACCCGTAATCTTGAGAAAGGTGTGATTTCCCGATCCATCCAGACAGGGCGGGTAAAGAAATATTTCTTCATGATGACTTGCTTCTCAGAATCTGCACAAAGAGAAAAGGTCAAGGATTGTATAAATGTACACTTCACCAAGTTACATATGCTTTAGGTCTGTACATGGCAATGACTAATAAAATGCGTCAACCGAATACAACGTAGGAGAACATGATATGAATTATCTATCACCCATTTAATGATTATGTAAGTGGTCAAATCGGAGATATGTGGTCGTTTTGTCATTTGAGAGTAAAAGAATTCTGACAAGCAACAAGGTGTTTTGGTAAACCAACATGATAAATATGTATTTAAGGGCAACAATATTCCAACCCCCAGTAGTCTCATCGGCGCCGATATAATTAGCCGGCGTAATCACCAGATGCCAATTAGCGCTGAACACAAACCAGTCGGGATTATAGTACATAATAATCAAATTTTGAATCCGCGAAGAAAAAGCCATCCATATTTTTAAACTTTCAAAATTGGGATGTTATTTCCCTTTAATTGTATATTTGGTTCTTAACACAATCACATTTCCTTTCTCATGCGGGGCGGTCGGGTAGCCTAGTGGTTAAAGCGTTCGCTCGTCACGCCGAAGACCCGGTTCGATTCCCGACATGGGTACAATGTGTGAAGCTCGCTCACTCACTCCTTTCTCATGTTGGTCATAAAATATAAAGTCATGTACGGCCTATTCCGTATGAGATATAATACATGTGAAGCAAGGTCTCGTCTAGGGGTTTTCAGGAAACTAGTTTGCCGTGACAATTACCGGTCTTGGCCCCTCTGAGTGCACGCAAGGCTTCATCCTGTTGTTTGAGCAGCGCCCCCTGCTGCCACTCCAGCTTCATGTTGGTGTATGGTACTTCCGGGAAGATGCTTCTGAACTCCCTCCGGGACCGGTAGTCTGAAAACAAGAAATAGGGAGAAAGAAACAGTTAATCCTTTTTTGCTTGCATATGTATTGTACAGATGGAATGTTTATGAATATCTGAGCCATGCAAGGACTGGGACTGTATACGTCTGTTTTCGTAATCCATGTACAAATTGAAAATGATCCCCAATGACATCCTTATTGTACCTCTGTGTTTGAGATCTGTGAAGACGTGGACGTTTTCTGGATTAGCGTTGTCATCCGTCTTGGGTGTTGGCGGTACATCAATTTGTCTGAAATAGGGTACCAGTACAGTTAGAAAGAACGAAATATCCTCACATACAAACTACAGTCATGACAACATAATGTTTCATACACTTTGTTACGTGTAGACACAAAGCCCATGGATGCCTAGTGGTCTAAGGCGCTGCAAGAGTTACGTCCCTTGGATGGATATAATCCGCTGAGCCGAGACCTAGAATCACCCTGATTATAACCTTTCTGACCACAACAGTGTTCGTGGGCTTCACCAACGTCCAACGTTATGATGTAACTGAAATACTCTTTCAACTCACTCACTCACGCTGGACACAAATATAAAATAACGCGGGTTGAGGAAACAGCTATAAAAGAGTAACTTACCGCTCTTTGTTCTTTCGTACAACTTTAATATCAAGTTTTGCAGGCTCTATCTAAATGAAGAAACATAGTTATGGATCATTATAGTAAATATTTTGGTTGACGCACGGACGTATATATACGTCTTTGGTTGACGTTAATGATACGTGAATAACGCATACTTTGCTTTATGCTTAGCACAGTATTATACTTTAAGTTGTGTTCAATGTACACGTATAAACAGGAGGTGTTTCAAATAACGGTAATAACACACAAATAACGTACTGGTCTTCTGTTCATCAACAACTCTTCGATCATACGCCGCTCCTCTCTGAGTTTCAGACGATACAGATCCATGTCGTCAAGGAGACGGTTCCTGCCGCCTAGAATATAATTGACAGGTAGTGTTTTATATCAGATCAAGTAGGTGGCGACCGATAACATCACGTATTGTCTTCTATTCATTATTTTTAAGGCATCCTCAGCTCTAATGAAACCAAAACTGAAGGTAATTTTTAAGAAATGAACAAGTGGAATATTTTTTAGTGCAACTTACTTCCTGGTTTAACCACAACTGTTGGAATAGTTCTCGGCTGAAAGAAGAAAAAAAACGTCAGTTGAAATTTGTGTTATGTTCCTTTGAATTCGACTGACACATGGATTTAATTATTAAAATAATTGACAGAAACTTAAACATCTCAAAACACAAACCCTCTCTAATTCCTTTAATCTCATTAGTCTTTCCCATTCCCTGCGTTGTCTCTCGGCCTCTCTCCTTCTGTTCTCTGACTCCAGGCGTAGTTCCTCGAGACGCCGTCGTGCCTGGAACAAAACGCCAACAGGGGAATTCACTTAGAGTACACTTTGTGCAGCGCTTTATGGCGGGTCATACTGAAGTTATAATCAGATATTGTAAACTGACAATGTTTCATGAGCTACCTACCAACATGATTTAAATAAATAAGCATCATAACTATTAATTTCCATTGTCAGAATGTGTTTAGTGATGAATGCACATTCTTCAGAAACATGAAGGTGTATCGCGAACACCTGGTGTCGTCACTGGTTTTCAGTGATCCATTCATATAATTTTCAAATTTTCGCACCTCTGATTCTGAGTCTCGGAGACGGCGTTGATTCTCGTCAAGTTCTCGCTGGAGTCTCCTTTTGTGTTCTTCGTTGTCCCTCTCCAGTTTGATCTTCAGCCTGGCTTCTTCTAACTGTTAATGTGAAACATTTAGGCAGTTTTAGCATTCACCTATTGTTTCGTGATTGTTTACAATGATAAAACACAATGAACGTTGTTGATGGATTTTACACTTGACATGCATATTCAGGCATGCTTCAGCAGACTACTGTGCCGTATTGCTGGTACATATATTGCACATATGTGATTCTTCCTTTGGTTTATGGTGACGCTGTTAAACAATGTTGTCAACGTTTTTAATCAAAATAACTACATAACAAAAACAAGGAAATTGTTAGCTAGAAACTTGTTAGCTAGGACTTGTCAGTTTAATTGTATATATGTTAGATTGATAAAATTACGCGAATGTGGGGGTTTCTGTGGTGTATAATCAAATTGTTAAACTAATAAGAACTGAATCAAGTCTACAAACTAATTTAAAAAAAACAAAAAGAAAAAAGCTCGTCGTTATCACAAATGCGATTGTGTATATGCTTTTTGATTACCGGGGACGGTCGGGTAGCCTAGTGGTTAAAGCGTTCGCTCGTCACGCCGAAGACCAGGGTTCAAATCCCGACATGGGTATAATGTGTGAAGCCCATTTCTGGTGTCCCCCGCCGTGATAATGCTGGAATATTGCAAAAGGCGGCGTAAAACCAAACTCACTCACTCTCACTCAATTTGATTACCGAGTGCTACTGATATAGCAGGACATGTTCATCCTTTTCGCGCACTACTGGTGTCATCACTGATTTTAAATGATCCATTTATATATTTTCCCCCTGTTTTGCCTTTTACGCCCAATGGGGAAACTATTTCGGCAGAATCCGTGACTGATTACTCTCTGGCGTTGACATTTTTTATTTAGCTAGACATGATGTGAAATCAAGTGACAAATAAGGAACAGACACATTTTGTGTGTTTGTCGTTAAAAGATTTAATAAATGCCCACATATCTGTGTAAATGAGGTGTAAAGATTCGACCTACGAAGCACTGTGTATGTCTCGGCGGTCACAATCTACGATATCAAGAAAATTACAAATTGCGTTTACGTTGAAACAGTGCTTGAGCAGAAATAGGTCACATGCCATTTGTAGTAGAAATCATCATCAAAGTTATCGACCCCCTATGTAATACAATGACCTTCCGACAAAATATGTTTAATATCTTTTATCATGCCGAAGGCCCGGTTCAATCCCCCATTGTGCAAAGCCCGTTTCTGGTGTTCCCCGCCATGATATTGCTGGAATATTGCTTAAAGCGGCGTAAAACCATACTCACTCATTCTATGAGTTAACCGTGTTACCTTGTCGTTTAAATCGTCCAGTGGTTTGTCTATGGCTGCTCGGTACCTAGGCTCAGGCTGATGAAGTCAAAGCAGGGTTACGAAGAAGACGTAATGCAATTAAAATGAATTAAGATGCATTCAGTCATTAAGATTCTATAGTACTTAGCGTAGTGTAAAATGAAAGTATTAGTCGTGGAGTGAAAATTGAATGAAAACACTTCTATAAGTCCCACAGAAAGATCAAATATATATTCATTTAAACAATGAATAGTGTGAAACAAATTCCAGTTAAATATCTACAAAGATATGAGTGAATTATCTATACCATCTGAAATTAAAAGCTAAATCAGTTGTCACTGACAAATTTAGTTGTCTATGTAACTATCAAAGAAAAAATCTACAATCAAATCGAATTCTATTTGAAGCTGTTAACTTCTACTTACTACATTGTATTTAATAAACAGTAAGTAATTCGTACAATCTAGTAAAACAACCATTCTTACCAGCAATGCAGAGCTCCTAACTGGAACCTCTGAAAGTAGACCCAAACCCAAACATTCGTATGTACACACAAACACACAAACACACAAACACACACACATATAGTAATATATAGAATAGTAATATTTTGCTGGAAAGCCACGTATTGGATAGGTTTCTGTATATGTTTATGAACATTATTTCCACTTTCATTAAAGTATTTACCCCATTATTTTCTAAGTTTTAAAAGTTACATTAAAATCTTGTTTCATACAACGCATCAGTGACAAAAATTATGTCTGATGCAATTCCCTATTTTGACTTGTACCACATATTCCCATGTTTCTTTAGGTGAACAATTGACTTGACATTGCATGTGTTTGTGACGGGCGCCACCTGTGGGCAGGATACGCGAACACCTGGTATCATCACTATTTGATAGTAATTCATATACACATGCAATGATATAGTGGGAATCGTACAATCGAATGGTTTTGACAGATAATTCTTATGAATATAGAAATTGTTTGTCGCTTGCATTGACACTTCGATTTGGAATACAACCAAAAATACTTACCCATTTGGATAGGGTTGTATTTTGGGCCTTGCCTGCAAAACAGACAGGTATGTTTAATGCAAAACTGCATGATGCCAAAATGATCTGCCAATGAAAAGCCGTGGTCCCAAGCAATATATGCGAATCGTAAGAGGCGAACAAATTGGATAGGGTGGTTAGGCCAGGTAACGGCATGAATCGTTGCCTTTAATTTCAATAACTGGATTATCTGGTCCAGATTATTTACAGCGACGTCAATGCTGAATGAGACTATACTAGGTAAAGTTTATTCTTATATTCATCAGCATAAACCGAGGGCTATAATCTATTCTTCTGAACTGCATTTAGCCTCAACAGAAAGAGATATCGCCTGTGGACAGAATAATGCAAATGTGTACATTAATTCAAGAGTAGGGTAGCCTTTGTGAAACGGGTTGTTCACCCTAAGACCGATCGGCTCACCATTGATAGGCCGGTGCAGGTTGTTGAATAATTATGGGTCTGTTGTCTGGGTAGTGTATAGGCTGCAGGGGTTGTACTAGTGGCACCTGTGGGACTGTAAAAACAAGACATTTATCAGAGCCTACTGAAGCAACCATTCCCCTAACACATACATGTATATAAAACCACATTTCCATTTTGCTTCTTCTGTGTCAGCAAATGAAATTTAAATCAGCCTACATTTTTAAATGTGTTCTGTGCTTTGTTATGTGAACCAAAAAACATTCCCTTTACAAATGGAATCAATGTCAATTGCCAAAGAGTTGTGACTGTATAATCAGTTATCTATGGACAGTGTTAACTATTTTTACTTTTTGACCGAGATCTATGGCAATAAATATGATAATTATCAAAATAAAATCTAAAACATACTAGTAACTGAATTAAATATCGCCCATAGTAAGGTTAAATTATGGTACAGCTTGATATGATAAATGATAATATTAGGTATGCACATATGCTACTTAAAAGAAGCGAAAGAACACTCGATTCTTCATATTATTTTTGTTAATAGGCCATGCTATGACAGATCAACTGTAGTAATACAAAAGATCGGGTCTTTTTTTTACTAGTATAAATTATCAACACTGGAATACGTATCGACATGCATAAATCAAACATACCTAGACTTATGTCCCTGGCCGCCATTATGCCATAGCCACTGTCCATTGGAGCTCTGTAGCTGATAGGAGCGGCTGGTTGAACTCTGCTTGATTGAGGAAATACCACGCATGTATATATATTCGTAGAAAATGTAGAATGTCAGTAAATCGCGGGTAAGGGTAGCAGGACAAGTCGTAACACCTCCTCTGCTGTACTTGCCAATAAGAAGCAATAATGAAATCTTCTAGTGTTTGTCTTATACCCACAGTCTTACCTTCAAACGAGCAGCAGGTCAAGCATAAAATATATATTGCTCTATCTAGTATATCTGTCACTGACAAGTAAATAAATAGTCGATCTTTCATATGAATCTACGTGTACACAAGTCCTGAAAATCTTCTTGTGTTGAGAGGTGATTGATTAAGTTAAGCCTTTCACAGGTTTCTCTTAAGGAGCATTGGGGCTTTATGGCATATCTTTTATGTGCCTTTGAAGACACTCAGTTCATTTGTAAAGAATTCTACAAAGCATTATGTCTTTTCAAGCCAATTTATTCACTCATGGTAAAAGAACCTAACCCCAACGTAGCAACGGTGTGTATGGATTAAGCTCCAATATATGCATACAGTCTGATATAATGTGAGGTCAAGCATGTCCTTTAACATACATTTCATATGGCGTGTACAGTTTTGTATGAAGGATTGTGCATTTGAACATAAATATACGCCACACAACATTCAATTATTCATTATTCATTTAATTTGGTGACATTGATGGTACGTGGTACTCAATTCTAAAGCAACTAAAAGCATTAGTAAAAAGCATAATTTAAATATCTTTCAGGATTCATAATCAACAGTTTCTGTACATCAGGTGTACATTTTATATTTTCTAAATTAGATTTTCTGATGGAGTGATTTTAATTTAATATTTGGGTTCTTGGGAGATAATATCTGTTAGAAAATCGTCTCTTTGAGATATCACCAGTTAGCACATGCATCTCCTAATTGGGGAGTTGTCGTTGATAGTGGTGCATAAATCATGAATACTGATAACTGAAAGATACAAGGACCTACTGACATTTGGAAAGCGTCAGCCATGGTGCGGCAAACAAAAAGGTCATGTGAATAAAGGATCTGTTCCGACATAGATAATGTCAAGTACAAGGTAAGTAAACTTTTTTTATGGTTTTGAATGGCATTAAATATCGGTGATACCTTTCAGTTATCAGTTCAGAGGGGGAAATGCTAAAACCGTGCAGGAAAGAGAGAATGTGAAGAAAAAAGAATTTTAACAATACGCCTTCTTTCAATCAACCATAACATACAATTATAGCAGATTTGGGAGACATGCGTATCATTTGATGTGACAACAGCATGTGCATGCATACATGCTCTCAGTTTGATAGATTTTGGTATAATGCACATCAGATAAGACTGTTGAAAGTGTTCATGCATAAAGTATACAGTGATAATAACACGAGACAGACCTTCGAGGTCTGCACACGTCAGCATTAAAGTATATTACAGACATGGATGAGTTGGCCCCCTGATAAGTTGGAGATGATACGCCCCCTGACTGGTGCTTCAAGGTGCTAATGATTGCTGTTTCGATTACATATGTAACATATCCCGATCAGTAAACATTAATAACAACACAAACTAACATTTGAAATAACGTATATATTTTCTTGGTAGGTTCAGCTATTCTTCCTTTTAAAAATCAAACGGATAATGTAACAGTTTTAGGAACGGGGATTGCAACCACAAGAGCTAACAGTTCAATATGATGCCTTAACTATGCATGGAGGAATAACTAAGACATGTGTTGCTGTTTCAACTTTACTTTTCCTGCAGTGTTTAATCTTGTAGATCAGTGAGCACAAAAGTGCTCATTCTTCTAAACAGACACGGATATTGAAACTAATCCTCTTTGGATATAATGTCAGGTTGGTCTGAACGTGCCCACAGTGTATCACCCTTCAATATATCACCTTAATGTCTACAGTATATGCTGATATGATGCAGTGACTCCAAAGGTCATGTCTTTGTGCACACACACACACACATATAAGTGCAACGAGGGATTCAAACGTCACACTTCACAAACACATTTCTTACTGTTCTTGTTTCTCTTGCTTGACATCTCTAGGACAAAAATACAATGTGAAAGATTAAACAGAATCCCTAAAAGAATCTACACGTCGACTACAGTGACATGGGTGACACGTCTAGAAATAAAAGAAAGATGAGGGTTAATTGACTAAAGCACTGCTTGGACACTAGGAGGCATCTTCGAGGAAGAAAACTCACGGAGCTGTAAAGTTTAACCGATGGGGTGGATCAATAGAACCCAAATTAGGCTTCTCACTGGGGCCTAACGGTTCCCTTGGCCTTGCTCTTGGTTCGCTAAACGATGGCCAGCTTACGGGTCGATGAACATAATCTGTTCTAGCTGTACGGGGAGACCCTTGCCTGTTAAAAATGTAGGCAGCATTTCTTTACGATTTCCTTTGTACATGCCTGTTTGTATATGCTCAGCGGGCATACAACTTATTTCCGAGTCCCCGTATGTTCACAGTCGTGGTGTATATGCTCACCAAGAACATGACAAACTATTAAATTATCATTATAAAACATCTAGAAATGGTATCGGTTTCATAAACAATTATATACTTTCTGAATTTCTTCATCGAATGGGATCTATCAAATACATGTAATAATGTTGTAAATCTTATTGTTTTGAAATTAACTATTGCATCAAGCAAATACACATTGCCATTATGTATGACATGACTTAAAATAATTTTGAATTTCACACTGGTAGGAAATGAAAATTTGTACGTGTTTCTGCTTAAGGGATCCATAGAATATAGTAAATATAATAATGAAATATATTATATTACCTAGTGCAATAAAGACGAGGACATTAAACTCAAATGAATATATATTAATATTGTTTTCATTTATTATTTCTTCATAAAGGAAATTAAGTACAATGTTAACATTTCTAATCAGTATCTTTGAACACTCATGTTAATACTTTTATCTAATTATTTAAAATAATTGTTTAATTGCGGATTTCGTTTTGATTTCGTAATTTTAATACCTTCTATCATATATACAGTCTACACAGGATAGGTGTTACTACAGTGAGATTACATTAGGAATAGCCTACCATATGACTCTACGAGGAGATGCTTGGGGTACTACTTGTACCGGAACTGCTACGGTGGGTGGTGGTGGTGAGAGGGAACGATGTACTACTACAGGTGGTGGTGCACGGGGCCGCCTTAGCAAGAATGGACAGACATGTATAAGTACTACACCTTCCTATCACTAACACGTTATGGACAGTAATAGGTTTACGTATTCTTTACTCACAACTATAAATTATTGAAGATAATGTGGTAACGTTATTTACTTTTTTATATCACAGAAACAAACAAAGGCATATAAACTGCTGGGTAAAAGAAACTATACATTTGAAAATTGGATTTGACCAACAGTCGCGGAAATACGCACTTAAGGTCAAAAACATCACCCAAAACTGGCTCCAATAGGAGATATCGCTTGGGTGAGATCAAGCGACATCTACATTGTAGATATCGCTGCAATGAAATTGCATCACAACACATCGCCATCGAATAACTATTTCTTGTTTCATTTTTAGCCTCCATCACACATGGGTGTATACTTTCTTGTACCCGGCAGTTTATAAGCATGTGTTTTAACTTGTGTATTCTTTTAACATGAAAGCGAAACTGTTCGTTTGATTATTTATGAAAAATATAACATCATTTATACCATTGCCATAACTAGCTAAGCGGTGAGTACAGAAACTTTGCATACTTTACATTGTCATGAAATACTCTTATTGTGTGTATGTTTAGAGACTGACGACATCAACTTGAGTTACATAATAGTATATAATGAGATTCACTATTTTGATGACGTATTTTGGAAACGTGCACGTGGATCAAAAACAAATTAGGCAAAAAGATTTTTTTTAAAAGGCAAAACAAACCAGAACTGGTCAGTTTAAAAACCTTGCTTCTTGCGGACGTACACGGTATATTCTGAACTCTGGTAAAATATAATTTAAAAAGTACCTCTCATCTATAAAGTCGTAAATGTATATGAATAATATAGCTATGAATAGTAAGTACATGATAACTAGATCATACCTATATTTCAAGCATTCTTCATTTTATATCACAACAGTGCCACAACAAACTACCGGACAGTGCGCTTCTAGCATCGTTAATTGAAAAACTGTACTATGAGATACCTTAACTCTAAGTATACTTACTTGTTTTCATCGTACAGGAACAGTGTGTGATAGGGTCGAACCTTAGAGTCCCCCCTTGATCGATACTGTGTCCAGTCAATGCCTCCGAGGGGCTTTAACCTGTCCGGTCCTTTCTCCGGATCTAGGTATCCGGATGCATTGACGCTCATGTCTTGGATCCGTTCTCTGTAATGGGCAATAATATGGCCATAAAACATCTTGTAACAGGACACAAATACGTGACCTGGAGATGGGATCAATAAAACAGCGTGAAGAGTAGTGAATTGGGCAACGCGTTCACTCTTCAGGTCAAGTACCTGGTTCGATCCGCCAAATAGTTATATGCTGTAAAGTCCCTTTAGGGTGTCCTTCGTCCCAAAATGACTGGAATATTTTATAGGCGGCGTAAATCCCTATTCACTCAATCTATGTTACGAAATGGACACATCGGATTCCCTAGCAATGTCCTTATTGGTCTACATAGACGCGGCAACATATTAAGCCAGAGGGTGAACAACAGCTTAGATAACTGAATAGAATCAATATTGCAATATAGCAATTAAAATATCAGTAAACTTTTGATCCTGATAAGGGTGTTATAGGTCATTGTATGTTCTACTCCAGAAGTTAAATAAAAGTATCACGTTCTTTGTGTAAGTAAACAGTTATATATAAAATGTGCAGAAAGAAGAAAAAAGAAAAGAAACTGTCGGGGAACAGTATCGCATTTAATGAGTGAGTGAACTGTGTTTAACGCCACTTTTAACAGTATTCCAGTTATATCATGGTGTGTCAGCTTAATGAGGGAGGAAAGCCCGAAGTGATGCAGGTCTCAGACGTTTATCACTTTGGTGAAACTCACGAGCTCGGGTATGGTGCTGACAAACCTAGAAACATAATCGGTGCAAACCGGGATTCAAATCCACAATCCAATTTTTTTGTCATGCCTAAGGGACGCAACTCTGCACAGCGAATTGCAGCACCTTAGACGACAGGGTCAACCATGCTACATCAATGCACTCTGTAAAGAAACGTCTTGTTTCATTCAACTGCAGCGATTTTGACTCATTTAAATACGTTTTAAAACGAAAGTACTCCGAGATGTATACAGGCTGTAGATACAGTTACCTACTAAGAACAACTAGGCAATGTCAGAAATGGTACTAGAGCGCTGTGCCTTAGGCAGGTCATGATCCTATCTTCGTGGGTTCGAATCCTTGATTCGCCCTGTTGCACTATCATTTTGGCATTCCCCTACATCAAGCGGACACGCTTAACTCTCTCCCTCGCGAATGAATGGTACCCGCCTTTGTTTTGCTGCATGTCTCTCAGCCATCTGCAGCTGGAGGTCTGCTTTGTAATGGTTCTGCCTCCTCTTCTTGGCACTGGCTCTCTCGCCATATTCTGTAATAATAGAAATGACGACATCCGTAAATAGAGATAATTGCGCTTTCTATTCGACAAGTAGTTTCGGAGCCTTTATAATTGACATTTTCAACACATTTTCAACATTTTAGACGTATGAAGGACATTCTTACCCCTTTCGCGAACACCTGGTGTCATCACTGATTTTCAGTGATCCATTGATATAAGTTTCACCACTATTTTGCCGTTTACGTCCAAAAGAATCTGTTTCGGTGGAGAACCGAGACCGGCAATTCTCTGATATTGAAATCTAACATTTCAGACAGTATACACTCAGTAGTTAAATCTAATATCTCTAAGTGAATTCCGCAAGCAGGGTTATATAGTACTGACAGACCAGGGATCCTAACTGGAGCGGATATGGACAACTCACACTCAGAGAACCTGGTAGTTAAGGGACACCAGTACATAAACAAAATGCAATAGATATGCATTGTCCATACTACCATACCGCCATAAGCCACATGCTTTCAATCACTGGCTTGTCTGCTTCAGACTCGATTATTTGCAGGTCGCCACGTATGGCTGGAAAATATTGCTAATTGCGACGCAATACAACAAACAAACAAACTATTGTCAATGCAATAATGTGTAATTTCAATCAAAACGTCCAGCATTGAAGGGATAAAAAACATTCACGATAACATAATAACTTTTAATAATTTAACATGTAATGTCAGTCGGTGAGATCTATTCAACTCACTTATTATTTCAAATCAAACACAGTACATTAAAAGTCAGACATAAATATACTTTACCTCCGACATCAAGCGACGTGAGGTAGTACCCGCCAGGCTTGTAGTTGGAGTAATGCGTGGTTGTCGTTTCATTCATCTTCTGTCCTGTTCTGTACACTTTCTTTAGCCAACAGTTTCTATTTCTCTGTGTTTACCAAACACATGGTAGGGTGTACGTCCATTCATTCTGAAATACGTACATATAAGTAAATATTGAAGTAAATGCTTCATTTTCTTTCAGAAAATGAGTGTAGACGTAAAGTAAATCTTGCATTTTGTACCGTGTTGACAATACTACAAAACGGCTATGCTGTTCTATGGCGGCCAGGCTGTAAATCTCGCCCTATGATACAGTTGTCCCGGCAAGACTACACGCTGAGGAAATATGCGATCTCATGTCCCTCTCCAGTGCTACCCAACGTACACACGAAGGTACAAAGAAGTACAATACGCGAGTATTATTGAAAACTACCTTACGAATGGGGACACAATTGATCGCCTTCCCAACGTGTCACTCTAATACGGTACAGCTATTATCAGCCACCGCAGGGAATAGATCGAAAACTTTCAAACACAAAAGCTTTATCTCAATGTCCAGGGCTTGAAATCATTGTTGAGTATTAAAGTTGTGTGTGCTAACACTTAGTTTCAATGGGTCGTCTGGTTCGATTTTGTTCACTATAATTTCATTCAACGATCGACAAAAAATGCTGTAGTGGTGTTGGGAGGAAAAGCTTTTCAATTAAGTCTGTCATTTTGAAAGGGTTGTAAATGCCTATGTAAATATACAAATGCCATTCGCGGCTAAGCAGTTTGATTTAAAGTGCCACTGGATATTTGTTGAGAGTGTATATGTGACGGAGTCTGAAAGGAACATCGCCTTATGAGCCATTTTAAAGCATATCGATACTTTTGTGTAAATTAATCGTCAACATATATGCATGTCACAAGTGTTGTTGTGTGGCTATCAGATAAATGGTTTTATGTAACACCAAAAAAATCACAAAAGTAGATATGTTACAGTCATAAATCTCCAATCATTGTTTTGGGAACACTGAAGCAACGTCATGTCGATGGATTCAAAAACCACATGGGAATCCCGCATTTAGCTAGAATCACACAGACTTTTGTGTGACTACCACTCAATCTCCCTATCGCCCACATTTACAATATGATTCCGAAGCCTAAAGAGACATGAAAACAGAGAAACCAAGTTTACGAGCAAAATTAATTCAATTGAAGCCGACACCATGTAGTTTAGAGTAGATATAATGATATAATATTCCAGACGAAAACACCTTTGAATATTAAAGTGATCTTGATTAAGTGCCATTATCTCGTTTCTTTATCACTTGTGTGTATGAATTGTAGTGGCATGAGCAACCATTTGGATATCAGGTTCATTATAAATTGACAGGATGATGATGATGATGATGATGATGATGATGATGATGATGATGATGATGATGATGATGACGACGACGAGGATGATGATGGATGACGATGGATGATGATAGGATATCAGGAGCATTATAAATTGACTGGATGATGATGATGGATGATGATGATGATGATGACGACGAGGATAATGATGGATGACGATGGATGATGATAGGATATCAGGAGCATTATAAACTGACTGGATGATGATGATGATGATATTATTATTATTATTGGTTTTAAGCTAGACATCCACGCACAGTCAGCTAGTACATTCACTCGACTATAGATTATGTCCGCGCTTATCAACTCATACACATCCAATACGTAACATGAAATCGAAAATGCGCTGTTATCTCCACATCTACACGCATAGCCAAAAGAAACGTATCCGTCATACCCCGCTTGCTATGACCACATAGGCTCCTGGCTTGTTTAGTACACCTGATCCCTTTCAAGTTTCTATTTATTGCTTGTTCTACCCCTACTACAGCGCATCCGAATATATATATGTCAGCCAAACAACCACAGTCCAGCGTTACTAGGTACACCGCGTGATTCACTGACCAACTGTCACTGAACGCCTTCTTCAATCCACCCAAGTCCTCTATTCACACGTTACTTATGTTTGTTCATGTTGGGCGCCAAGCTTTATGTTCACGATAGGTGGGTCAGCACATATTATAACACTAAGTACAATGCGGGTGGGTTAGCATATCGACCTCGACATATTGTGCACTGTAGGCAGATGTACAAAAGCACCAAGACATACAGAATCCTAGTTCTTGAGGTATGATATATATATTGTTAGGGGGATTGGTAGCCCAGTCGTATAAGGCGCCGCAATTCGCTGTCCAGTTGCTTCCCTTGGGCACGCCAGAAACCTATGATTATGGGTTCGAATCCTGGTTCGCTCCGACAGCTTCTAGTTTTGACAGCATCATACTCGTGCTCGTGGGTTTCACCAAAGTGGTAAACGTCATTTAGGGCTCTCCTCCCACATGAAGCTGACACGCTGTGATATAACTTGAATACTGTTCAAAACGGCGTTAAACCCAACTCATCCACTCACAACTATGATATCATACATATACAGAGAGACACACAGGGAGAGAGAGAGAGAGAGAGAGAGAGAGACACACACACACACACACACACACACACAGACACACACACACACACACACACACACACACACACACACACATAAAGTGTTAGGCGCTGGGGTGGAGTGGGATCAACAGGAATGTGATCCACAGATCGTGGGGAATCTAAGCCTGTTCTTCGGCGTGTCGAGCTCTGCTTTTGACCAACTGGCTTCCCCGCCATCCGAAGATATAGTAGATACGTAAAAGGGTTTTTAAAAATCCAAACGCCATACTGTATAGTTGAGTGTAAAATTCTACATTATCGGTAATAAGAGGTAGGTAGTTGTGTGTTTAAAGATATTTACATTTTAGTTCTTGAATTCGTGTTTCTTGAATTCGGAGACCTCAGCCAAAAACTATATTGTGCGGACACATTGAGAAAAAGGCTAGTGGTGGGTTACATTTCTTTGATATCCTACTTTGGATAGGTTGCTAACGGGTAAATACCTATATTGGTGAAAGAGTTAGTGAGCTGTTGAGTGAGTGTGTGAGTTGATGATCAATTGAGTGAGAGTAGCACTTAACGCCGCTTTGAACACTATTTCAGTAATATCACGGCCAGTAGATTTAATGCAAAGGGAAAGCCCGTAGCTATGGGCGTCTTCCAGTTCTGTGAGACCAATGAATACCGGGTAAGACAAGCCAAGATGATAATAATGGCGAATCTGAGATCAGGAAATCCTGGCACGGCTATGGAACGCCACTGTGCACAGCGGAACTTTACCATAGTCTACTTTCCCTTTATGTCGAGCAGTATTCCAGCTGCTCCTGCCTTTGACGTCTACATGTCACTACTTTTGAGGTACAATGAACATGCTCTTTCTAACAATATGTCACAGACCGTCATACAACTCCTGCTCAAAAGGTGTTTCATCAGGGTTACATCATTCAAGGCCTCATTAGAGCTTTCAAAAGATTTATGGTAGACATGTATAGGCATTTCCAAATTTGACGCATCAATGACAAATAATTTGTCCGATACGGTTCCCTATTTTGACTTGTACCATATGTTCCCGTGGGTTTCTTTTAAGATGAATAATTGACATGCCTTAGCATGTGCTTGTGACCGGTGCCACCGGTGGGGCAGGGTATGCTCACCTCTTCGCGAACACCTTGTGTCATCATTTGGTATTTAAAATTTATTATGATGATGGTTGTCGCTTTTATTTGTATATGATGGATAATATATTTTATAGATTATTAGTTACATTAACTGTGGACACTTAACAAGTAAATATGATAAAATTAATGATTGGTAAATACTTATTTTGGAAGGCATAATTATGTAACTTTATAGTTATTTACACGTACAATAAGTATATACGCTCGAGAGGGCCGACTGACAATAGATCTTTCGTTCCTAATAATGGTCTTTACTGTTTGAGGAAAGTTTGATAAAATTGTATATTTAACGTCTTTTTCGCTTTTCGCTTTTCGCAACCAAAAGCTGTCACAAATGTTTGACCTTATGTGACGAGGTTATATAAGGTGTGATGTACAGTCATTTTATACACTTATTTTGATCGCAGTGTTCTGCCGAATTTCTGGATAAATGAATCACGAGCACCTTATAATGCCCGTTTCATTACATATACGCGTTCACAAAAGTAACAGTCGTGTTGACAATTCGGTAGTCCCTCATCATGTTAACTAAACATTTCTAAAAGTGTACATCGGTACATAAAGAAAACTAAAAGGTTTGATTCAGCTAAATGTAAGTATGTTAAATGTCAATCAAACACTTACGTGTAAATTCGTTTCTCTTTTTCTCTTCTGACAGTTCTGTTATTAATGTATTAATTGTAAATATGCATACTTGTAAATAAATGGGAGAGGTCAATCTAAATTGTGATCATTTGTGGCCAATTATTTCCATGTGAATAAGTACGGTTAAACTAAAAACAAATTATCCGAGATAGCGAGATTTCCGGATCAATGGGGTTCGCACAACGACCAATACATTGTTTGTATACGCCGGTAACTGTTATCAGTTATATTAAGTATATGGTTATTTAAAGGCGTGATGGTATGAATATTTTGTTCTATAATAATAATGCTAGATTTGTAATCAACTTGAACACCCACCATTGTATCAACCATTTGTTACATGTCTAAGCTTGATATGTTCTTCATATACTTAACATAAGTATAATTATTTAATTGTTACAATGTACAATTGATTTGCAATTCTATATATCTATAGACATTACACTACACATATGAAACATATCACACATATCAAATTGTGACATTAATTGATTCAATATGAATACCCAAGAGCCATATATTCAAAATATATTGGTCTATTATAACATGATTATGTAAGTAATATTTGTAATCATAGTTTTCTATCGATTGAAAGCGGACAATTTCAGTCTTTGCAGTTGTGGTAGCCTTACTTATATTAGACGTTACATAGAGCGTCTTAGATACGCTATAGACTACCTCTGTTCTTCAAACTTCAGCAATATCTTGAATTAAAACATATGCAGTTACGGCCTGGTTTCATTCCGAACATACCTGAGTTAAAGATACATCCATTACACGTTGGTTTTCTCCTATAATCCCGCTTTTAGCTGATAATCCGGGCACTAGCGGTGGATATCCACGCAACTGGTTGTCACTTTCATTGTGTATTGACTGGTTGTCAAGCGAACCCCCCTGAAAATGACAAGCCCATAGCCACCACTTAGCCGAAATCACTCGGCGATTTATTTGTAAAGTCAAGCCCATGGGATCCCTTTGTTAGACGTTTAGTCGTCCCTTTTCACAGTATCAATGGCATTGTGTACCCAAAGCCGGTCTCTTTCTGCTAAGGCAAACTCATTACTAGTTCGACTATTTAATTCCCAATGTAAGATCGTGTCGAATTCTATAGATGCATATGAAAGGTTTATTTACAACATTTCGACATGGCTGTGTTGAAATGTGCAACCACCGGAGAAATATTTACCTGGTATAATAGCCGTTATACGACGCCGTGCCATGAAATAGACACGACAATGGAGAAATCCCTTGCATTCACCGTGAGGTTGTTAATACGCGACATACAACTGTCAATAAGGTAGGTTAGTGGGCAGGCTTCATATGAAGGAGTATTGAATTATCAATCTTGGTCGTGTGAAATAACAAGGTAATTGGGATATATGATGCTGACCACAAAGTGTCGTGGCGTTCTCTACATAATCATGATTGATATCAGAATCTCGTTAGTCATGTCTTGATGGACGTATGTGATCAGAGTGTTCCAGAGGTAACATTATGAGTCAGTGATGTTGGTTTAGCGCCACTTTTAACGGTATTTCGGTAACATTAGTATTTCGGTAACATTAGGGCGTGTCAGCTAGATATGGGAAGAACCGAATACCTCTTACTGAAAACTCATTTGATGGTGCTTGCAGACCAAGGTTCATAATCGCAGCGTATATGGGATTCGAATATGTATATAATGATTACCGTGATGGCTGACTACGAAGAGATTAAGTGTGTTCAAGCATCGGTATTTTGGTATGAGTGAGCGAGTATGGTTTTACGCCGCTTTTAGCAATATTCCAGCAATATCACGGCGTTTTATTTTGCGTAGGATTTTGGTATGACGTTTAGTCAATGGATTAAAAAGTGTACCTACTATAGCGCACATGTATCTTTGTTTTATCATGGGTTTAAAACTAATACAGCATCAATACTATACTTCAATTGTCTTTATTGGTGTTATAACTGCACAAGTCTTACTGGGCCGCCTCCGTGGTCTGTTGGTAGAGCGTCCGCCCTTAGGGTCCGCGTCATACCAAAAGACGTCTGAAGATGGTACTTGTTTTTACCCTGCCTAGCGCTCGGCATCAAGGGGATAAAAAAGGGCTGGTCGGCTCGGAGTCAGTATACTGTGTCTGAGTGGGGTATTCATGGTATCTCAGTGTGCTTTCACTATATACATCGGCATCAGTCCAGACTAGTATACACACACACCCACGCACGCACGCACGCACGCACGCACGCACGCACGCACGCACGCACGCACGCACACACACACACACACACACACACACACGCATGCACGCACGCACGCACGCACGCACGCACACACACACACACACACACTCACACACGCACGTGCATGCACGTGGCTATATAAGTGCAATATTCTTGGACGCGACGTTAAACCTCATTTCGGCTCACCTCACTATACTGAAAATGAGTTATTAATCATATAATGACATGAAGTTATATTCAAACCATGTTTTGCGAAACGGTTGTGCACCTAATGAGTGGCTCAAACGCTTCTCTGTGACTGACGGCACACATATTACAGCCAAACACCAACAACACGTCCTTCTTTGCTCTCACCCTCTATTCAACTATATCATTCTATATATAACATTCAATTTAATGAGTACATTTAGGATCGAAATAACTGTATCTACGAGTACTCTATGTTAAATTCAATAAGTTTCGACAAAGTTATTTCATTTTGCACTTTATGCAGTGTCGCTCATAATATGTGGACAGTATGTTCGCATGATAAACATCTTAACATTGTCAAGCCGCCTCACGCGATGTCAGTTTCGCAAGGCGCGTCTGTGTCAAGGGACGCTACTCCTGTAGCACAATTTGCATTCAGTCTGTTTCCGTATGTCAACTCCTCCATTAACTGTGTTTTGCTGAACATCTATAGTAACGTAAGAAGGATCAGTTGTCATTGTCTATGTATACCATGAATATCTATTTTGTATTTGACACCACATGTTTCCTTCTGTGTAGTCATACTGTATCAGGAAATCCCACCGAGATCCCACTGGCGGGAAGTGGGTTGAAATGGGGTTTATCGTCGCGTCCAAGATTATGGCACTTATATTGCGACGTGTGCGTGTGTGAGTGTGTGCGTGCGTGCGTGCGTGCGCGTGTGTCTGTGTGTGTGTGTGTGTGTGTGGCTGCTTGTACCAGTCCACAGTTTAACATGGATACCCCACTCAGACACAGTATGCTGACTCTGAGCCGACCAGTCCTTGTTTAGCCCCTTAATGCCAACCGCAGACAGGGTAACAACAAGTTCCACCTTTAAACGTCGTTTGGTATGACGCGGCCGTGGATCGAAGCCCAGACCTTCTTCTCTCCGGGCGGTCGCTCTACCACTAGACAAGGAAGGTCTTCTGGCAGGAGACCGGGCAGCGTGATTTGGATACATGAAATATAACCTTGATTAATTAAACATATATTTTATATTTAGATCTAAAATATTCCCTTTCTGACTATATATAACTATTGACTACAATTGTTCAAATTAATGCATACATATTTGTGTTAAATCATTCTGAATGTGTTAGGGCATATCTGTTGTTTCAATGTTCCTCTTCAGCACTAATATCCAACGTCCCGTTAACGTTGCCTTGCTACTTACTCTCGTCTTGACAAGATGAAATGTCATGCTACTGAACTCGAGGCCAAAGAGAAACATTTTCATCTAATGCCTTTTCATTGACTGTGTATTCAGCACACATAGTTAAGGCAGGAATTGCTTTAAGTTGTAAATATGTTCTGGTTTTATGTTCAGCAATATCTGAAGACAACGCTACCTAATGGTATTCTGCAATTTTGTCGAGAAACCTGTTTTGTCCAAATATCCCATCTGATTTTGTGAAATGCATGACAGACAAACAAACATGACGCTTTTGTTGAGTGAAGTCATTTTCAGAATATTGTTTCACACACTATGACGTTGGAGAAATACCTTGTAACTTTAAGGTGGGTTTCACTCTCGACATATCCATGGCAACAGCCATAACATTGCTTACAAATATGAATACATATGTTTTAAACCTATTTCGGAGGTTGTTTAATCTGCATCATCTTTGGCTGACGTGAACTATGAATACAATGAATGCTGACAGTTTTATTTGTGAAATCTGGTAACTGTCAAATGACTTTCTAGGTCTTGACTTTTATTTGTAATTCGAGTCGGTCTAAAAGAATTGTCGGTCTACAAATTAAATGGAAACTAAATATGTTCTGAAAAGACATTTAGTCACAAGCTGAAGTCTAAAACATAGGTCATCGAGAATAGACGCCTTTCCAACCACTATTACAGTGTATGAATGAGGAACACCTCACCTTGTTTCTTTCACATATTGTTATTTCGAGGACCTAGTCGAGTCTACAGGAAAGGATAATCAATGGCAAAGGTTTGATAAATATTCTTATTTACCTTATTATTATTTCTTTAAATCACATGTCTCACAACTCCGTTTATCTACTGCTTATTCTGAGTTTGTTTTTTAATTGAACTGAAGTTGGACCCAATAGGTTCAAAGGCGTTTTTGAGTAGTTGAAATTTAAATCTATATAAATTCACAATTTCAAATTAACTGCTGCCAAACTCGTATTTGTTCCTAACACACGTAATGGTGACATGTTCGGTTATTTTCATTAAAGATTATAGATGCGAACCAGTTCAAACGTGAAAGAAAATTTGACGTGTGGCTTTCATTTTGACCAATAAACAACATTTATTCTACCTATTCATAAAAATGGTCTGCTGCGTTTACACCAGAACCCAATGTTGTGTGATGATCCAAATCATCACAATGTCCTATATCGTCAATAAATTTGCATGTATACGAGCATATGTTCTTTGCCTTCAAGTGTAAGGGGCGCCTACTTTGCATATAAAACATCAACCCCAGAGAATAATCATTCGAGCTTGGTAAAAACAAGGATGCGCAGATCCTCACTCAAAACGAAATTTCATCACACATGGTGTTGTGTTTTGTTGTGTTTTCACAGTGTCGACCGCAGATTACTATCCAGAGTGATTCCGTTCAGCCCAGAAACACCGCTAGAGTGAGTGAGTGAGTTGGGCTTATCGCCGCTTTTAACAGTATTCTAGTTATATCACGGCGTGTCAGCTTAATGTGGGAGGAAAGCCCGAAGTGATGCAGGTCTTAGACGTTAACCACTAGAAACATAATCGGGGCAAACCGGGATTCGAACCAACAATCATAGGTTTCCGGCGTGCCCAAGGGACGCAACTCTGCACAGCGAATCACGGCGACTTAGACGACTGGGCCACCCGTGCCCCCCACCGCTAGATAATTCCATTACTCTGTAACAACGATTCATACAATGAGTTGCCTATTATGACATTATAGTTGGTAATGCACAGCAGGTTGACATATTTTCATTCCGTTCGACTTTTCAGGGCAATCTTACACATGTTTTGGGACCGCCTCCGTGGTCTAGTGGTAGAGCGTCCGCCCGTTAGAGCGGAAGGGCCGGGGTTCGATCCCCGGCCGCGTCATACCAAAAGACATTTAAAGATGGTACTCGTTGTTACCCTGTCCGGCGCTCGGCATTAAGGGGCTAAGAAAAGGACTGGTCGGCTTGGAGTCAGTATACTGTGTCTGAGTGGGGTATTCATGTTAAACTACGGCGTGGTATCAGAGTGAGCTAGCACTATAAATCGGCATCAGTCCGGACTAGTACAAGCAGCCACACAAACACACACACGTACATGCACGTCGCTATACAAGCGCAATAATCTTGGACGCGACGTTAAACCCCATCTCACCTCACCTCACCTACACATGTTTTGTCATTTCATAATAGAGAATTCAAATACAACGTTGGATTCGACTTATCTGTCTGTGACATAATGATAACAATTGTATGAATT